AGAAGGTGGTTTGTTCTCTCTCATAGTAGGCTAGCAGATATTGAGTGTCTTGCGTAGACAATTGTTAATAAATACCTGTACATTTTTGATGATGGTAGTTCTCTAATTTTTAGCCGCGCACGACAGAACTGTCATGATGTCTGCATTAAAGATCGTTATGACGTTCGTACTGAGGATTCTGACTTTGATGTTGGCTTGCAGACAGTTGTTTTGAGTTTCATATATTTTTCAATTGCAAGAATCCCTCCCTTGCTTTTCTAGTGCATGCATTTACGTCTGCATCAGATCCTCCTTGTTCGTCGATGATGCTGCCCAGGAACGTAAAACATTCCATCTCTTCCAGAGTTTCCCCATCAAGAGCGATTGATTTAGTTAGCATTTGAGGATGTTGTTCTTTCCCTTGTGTATGTTGAGGCCTGCTGATATAGAGGCTGCTGCTACACCGGTTGTATTGACCTGCAATTGCTCGTGTTGTTGAGATAGAATAGCTAAATCATCTGAGTGGTCCAAATTGTCTAGTTGCATTTAAGCTGTCCATTCTATTCTGTACTTCTCCTCAGATGTGGATGTCTTCAGAATCCAGTCAACTACCAGACGAAAAATAAAGACGGGAGTTGGTACTCTTTTCTGACACCGACCTTCATATGAAATGCGTTTATCGGCTGTCCTCCACACACTACATTGCACTTTAGTTCGTCGTATGGATTCCATATGATGTTGAGAATCTTCTCAGGTACGCCACAGTGTTGAAGGAGGTCACATAATTTCTCCTATCCACTCTGTCGAACGCCTTTTCATAGTCAAGGAAGTGGGTGTATAGTGACGAATTCCACCCAGTCGATTGATAGCAAATATCTGAACGGACTAAAAACGGTGGGAAATGGATTCCAACATTAAGAATATAAAGTAAAAACCTTTATACTTATATAAAAAGAATTAGTTCTCAGTGATTTATGGGACGACTATTCTGTTTATGGGTATAAAAAAAGTCTTCATTCTGAGCAAGAACTTTTTAAGTAGTAAAATCGTAACGATTTAGGATTTTGGTTGTACCGCTTATTACACAACACGATTGTACATGAGGCTCACGCTGCGTCTTTTTTAAGCAGTGACATTTCGTCATCCAATAGAGGTGAATAGGAAATTCAATGCCAAAGTAAAATAATAAAGTACATAAGTAACTTCTGTCTGCAATACTTTTATTATGACAGCAGGTAATTGAATGACTTCTAACAACCTCCCTTTGACCAGTACACATCTACGCAGTGCAGCATGTTATAGTCTTCTTAGTACTAGGAAAGGTTACTAGAGGTTCCAGTTTATCCTGAGATCCCCTATAATTAACCACTTTGTTGTCCCTATTCTGTTTCAAGAGTAATATGACAAGAATCATACTATTTCTTTGTCAAGATCACTTTGAAGATGCCACAGGTATTTGGAGTTTCACAACGCTTTAGCCACTAACACCTGATATGAAGCGTACCCACCAAGTGAAATCAAAAGACAGAAGCGAGGAGGCTCGAAGATATGTTTGATAGGCCATCAATATATCGAGGATCATCTGATCTAATCTGGCTAGCGATTGCAGGGGATGTTGAGCACGGAGTTCCCACTCGTGATCTGATGCGGATCCATGACCGAGCGCTTTAAGCTAGGTGAGTTCATTAAAATTAATGTGATCAGCATCTAATGTCGAAAACTTGCAGAGCTATTTATTTTGGGGATTTATTTACCGCTATAACTTCAATACTACTGTTGCTCAGACCTCAAGGAGAAGCATAATAAGTAATGTCAAACATAATATACGAACTAGTATTTCGTTCATTTTATTATTTCTAGCAGAGTTTGTAAAACGGACAAGAGAAAAAGTGAGCAGATGACTTTGAATACGCTTAGGATGCATTTGAGTTCAGTAACGAAAGTGCTTGGTAACAATTAGCAATAACACATACTTCAGGGTAAGACGACAAAATAACGGAAACTTGGTGATGGATTAGCAGCACTGAAATCTGTAGGTTGTTATTGCCATCTGTTATTGCTACCTGTCCATTCACGTAAGGCTCATACAAACAAACAGGACGAAGCTCACGCGTTCCAAATTGAAAGCATAAACTACTTGTATATGAACGCCGCGAGTCTACCAAACAAATTGGATGAACTACGTGAACTTAGCAATGCTAATAAGGCTCATCTGATAGGAATATCTGAAACCTGGATATCTTCTCAGTTCTCGGACCATGAGTTTGCATTACCTGGGATGTCTTTGTTCCGCAATGACAGAAAATCAGGAATTGGGGGCGAAGTAGCTGTTTACATACGTTCTTGCTTGGAGGTGCACCAAGTTCATAACCTCGAGTTTAACAATCTTGAGGAATCTATATGGTGCTCTGTAAGATTGTCTAGTACTTCGAGGTGCCTAGTCGGAGTCATTTATAGGAAGCCAACTGCCGACATCGAGTACGATAGTCGTATGCTGGAAGGACCATCCCTCTCTACTCGTCTCGGTTTCACACACATCCTGACTCTAGGGGACTTTAATCTCCCTAGAGTCAACTTCGCAGAACACACGTATATTGGAGGCGACAACTCAATTGAAGTTCGGTTCTTCAACGTCATCGATGACTTGGGATTGTACGAAAATGTGGGGCCGGCAACTCGTTGAGGAAACAGTAAGACACCATCGCGCTTAGACTGTGTATTCACAAACGAAGAATTCCTAGTTGGCAACCTCTCAATCCTGGCTCCCCTGGGAAAAAGCGATCACGCCGTTGTAGCTTTCAGTTTCGTCAGCAAAACTGAGCTAAGATATCCCACCAACTACTTGCACCGGAATTTCAAACGATTGAATGTGTTAGCTCTGCAGGACTATCAATAACAGGTGGATTGGTATGTTCACCCTCAACTCGATGTGGATGCTCAATGGGACTTCTTACTACACACGCTCATATAAGCTACAAAGAGTTCTGTTCTTTAAATGGTCCCCAAAATCTACAAGCAACATACAATTATCAAGAACCACACTCTTCGTTTGCTAAGTCGCGAAAGGCACTGTTGGGCAGAATACAAACGAACTGATAACAACGGAGCGTATAGGCAATACAAACATATAAGGAACATATGCAAGAAGGCTATAAGAGAGGATAGGCTGCAGTACCAGATAAAGCTTATTGATAAATTTGTCCCTGATCCGAAAAGCTTATTCTGTTATGCAGCCTCTCTTCGTCAAGCCAAAACTAAATTTTGCCAAATGGTAGGTCTTAACGGCCCGACTAACAACGATGGCGACGCCACTAACTTTCTGACTGAACATTACTCCCGGACATTTCAACCGACCGACATTAACTTTGCTCATGACAGTTTCGTTTGCAATTCCACAGGACTTTCCGAAGCGAACCTAAGCGCTGACTTGATGTTCCGGAAACTGCAGCACTTAAGACTAAACACTTCTCCTGGCCCGGACATGGTCCATTCCGCCCTACTGAGGGAAGCAGCCTCAATCCTGGCAGCGCCGCTCAGCGTGATGTTCTCACACTCGCAAAGTCGAGGAAAACTACCGGAAAATTGGATGCTGGCCCACATCACACCAATTTTCAAAAGAAGTCGACGCAGCGAACCTTCAAGTTACCGGCCGGTGGCTCTTCTCTCCATACCTTCAAAAATCATGGGGTCCCTGATATGCGATGGTATAAATGACTTTTTACTGTCCTTAAATTTCTTCTCACTCCAACAGCATGGTTTCAGGAAGGGTTACTCTTGTGTGGACAAGCATGGACAAGGGGAAGGTTGATATCATCTACCTAGATGTCTCAAAAGCTTTTGATAAGGTTAACCATACATGTCTTATCCATAAGCTCAAACGATTGGGTATCAGACCACCTCTAATCGATTGGTTCACTTCATACCTGAAAAATCGACATTTTAAGGTCAGGGTTAATTTCACTTTATCTCAGGCTATGGAATGTCCTAGTGGGGTCCCACAGGGCTCAGTACTAGGACCTCTTCTCTTCTCGATCTACATAAATGATCTTCCTCAACAGGTAACGTCAGACTTATTACTTTTTGCCGACGACATGAAACTTTAGAGAGAGATACGCAACCAAGACGATATACAGGCACTTCAGGAGGATCTGACTCGACTACAAAGTTGTGCAGACGATAACGGACTTATTTTTAACACTTCAAAGTGTAAAGTAGTCCATCCGCGACATGTCGCAGACTACAGTTATAGCTTAGGAAACTCCTCTCTATTAGTATCCCAAGTCGAAAAAGATTGAGGAGTCCTGGTGCCCTGCGATTTAAAGTCTTACGTTAAGTGTGACAAAAATGCCTTGCGAGCAAACCTTGCACTGGTAACATTGAAGCGCATTTTTGGCCAGTTTGACGGAAGAACTTTCCATATAATCTTCAATAGTTTCGTCCGTCCCCATTTAGATTACGAAAACATAATATATCCCCCTCACTCCAAAAGGATAAGGACACCCTGGAGCGTATCCAACGGCGAGCCACGAAATCAGTTCGAGGACTCAAATCTAAACCTTACGAAGAGTTCCTCCATTCACTTAACCTTTACCCATTAGAGTATAGACGACTTAGAGGTGACCTGATGGCTTATAGTATCCTTAACACTTCTGGACATCCTCTTAGACACCTACTTAAGCTTAGTTCCAACACTAAACTAAGGGGTAACACCCGAAAACTGGAGACACAACATAGCAGAACGGACTGTAGACACAACTTCTACTCCTTATGAGCTGTCAAATGCTGGAATTCGCTGCCGGCCGAGCTAGTCCAAGCGACTTCCCAGGAGTCCTTTAAGAGGCAACTTGATCTATTCTTAAGGACTAAGGATAGTGTCACACTATGATTTACTAATTTCCTTTCCTCTTTTATTATTAACATACCTAGGTTCCTGCCTGGAGGATTTGGTGATCTCCTGCTACTAGACACGGAAGCCTGTTAAGCGAAAGCTTCTATTCCGTCCACAACCATTTGAACCATTTGAACGATGGTCATACAATCCTTTGACCTTCAAATGTTCAGTCACCTACACACAAGGGTCACGGTTACAAGCAGTTTTCGAGGCATAAATGAGAAACAGCCTGAGTCTTTTTTATACATTATGTGGTGATGCTCCCTTTACAGTGCTATTTCACTTATACTAAGTCACTGTGATTGTCGCATAGATGAGTCTATACATAACCATATTTTTATATATATTTCGGGAAGTCCACGGTCACTATAAAAGACCTGCACGTATTAGGATTCCAAGTTTTTGCCGCAACAAAAGCGTCGTTAAAGTTTCTTTGGCTTAACTAACTAAAAAGGCCTGAAGATCAGAAGTCGGCGTGCCAACGGATTAATAAACTAGGGTGTAATGATCCAATCCGTCATCTAATAACCTTGTTTTTTTGGTATTTTATGGTGCTTACAATTTTAAAAACTTTTCGGATATGAATATTATCAAAATTTTCGAAACCGACGGTATGTTTGTAAATTTCGATCAGTCAAATCTAATTTCCTGTTATATACTACTCTGGTAACTCGCTAAAAATAAGTTCTCTAATTCCTCATAACTCGAGAAGAGCGATCCAAGGCTTGTCTTTAAAATCAGAAGTAAACCTTTATGTGACAAAGCAATCTTCTCTTCGGATGGAGACGCTTCGAATACTCTGCTTCTTAAAAAACCTGAGACACCACTGTTCACAGTGTTCGTTCTTCGATTTCATTCCATAGAGTGGTAGTGAAAAAGTGTTTGTCTTTGCACTTACTTCCTTCCTATATTTTGTTTTAAGGCAGTATGTAACTTCTTAGTTTCCTAAATGGAACCTAGAAACAGTACTCTGTATTGATTACGTTGTGCTAGATGTATTGCCCAGACAGCGAATCTTCTACACTTAAGTATGCTTGTGTCTAATTTTGTCAAGTCCTTCAATTAACTTGTTTGACAGACAGTGTCATCCAAACAGTTACAATTTGTATATCTTCGTATTATTATTACTATTATTATTATTTCTGTATTCTTGATCACGTGTTGCAGCCTACTCACATCGCTCTTGCTATCTAATACATCAGTTGCTTAAATTTCTCGATGAATCATTCGTCTTCCTATATATATGCGCTTGAACCTTATTAATTCATTCGACTCGTAATTCGCCTCTGTATTTGTTTGCTCACTCGCGTTAGCATTTCTGCTTGGATCCGCTTTGTGTGTTTGTGGCTCAGTGATTTGCTCTGTTCAGTGGCAAATTGTAGTCTATGCTTCGTATTGTCTCCTGCAATTTATACACCGTTGTGATTTATTTAGGAATGGTTATCAGGAAAATTGATGTATGAAGCTTTAGGAAGTGTTTCGAAGATAATCCCCCACAAGTCCTACTATCTGGTGGTATGTAGGCTTGTCCAAGTCACCATTAATTGGTAACCAATGTCTATACAAAGTACTTATAAAGAATAGTGGGGACCTGTCTGGAGTTTTGCTGTGGTTGGACAGTAAAAATAGTCAGAAGGACCATTTTCCTGGGAACCTGTGTGAGTGTTACTAGTGGCTTGGCAAATGAGATCACACTTATTTGGGATGTTATAAATGGTCCCTAGGTCCTAATTCATGTTTGAACATACTAAACAGGCTAGTCCAATAGTTATAACTACCAACTAATATTCACTAAAAATGATAACTCCGTTTTAGATTTTAATTTATCTATACATCTTGTCCTCTGTTGGATAATTACGAAAGTTCATGTGGTGGAACTTTAGCTTAGTATCCCGATTATCAGTAAATGTTGGCATAGTATCTCGATCCAATAATTCAAATGTCACTACTTCTAGGGGAATATATTTAGTACAAAACATATGTGAGTATGCTTAGTTTCATAATACTAACTTAAAGTAAGTTTACATTCATAAATTTCTGTTATAAATAAACTTTGATTACTATTCCAAACCTGCACAAATTTACAAATGCTTTTTAACTCAAACTGGGTTCATATAAGTTGACTTAGTGCAATTGTCAGTAAAAAATCGATTCGTAATAGTCAGGGTCAGTTAACCGATAAAAATACACTAGTCCAAGAACCTAGTCATTCTAACTGTTACTATCAAACAACTATTATTCGAAAGATGGAAATTACCACATGGATATCGTTCTGCTGCATATTTATGGCAGCCTTATGGTCATTCAAAATGACGTCATTCATACTACTTCATTACTTAAACTACTATCAGAAACTCCTTAGAAACGGCACACTACTCCATTCACCTACTTTAGCAACCCCTAAGTAGGTTCTCAGCGTTGGTGTTTTCTAATATATTTGATTTTTGGTTTTAATACAAACTTTTGTCCAAAGGAAATTAGTAAGTTTTTCGTTCCTATTTACATAGTATTCGGTACTAGTAACCTAACTGGCCAGTGATTCTTTTTATACAGCTCTGATTAAAATAAGTAATAGTCATCCAATTTGTACTTGTGGTTTTAGATAGTTGAAGCTATTACGACGATCCTGTAAACAACTGCAAAGATGGGTAAACAAAAAACCAAACAAGATGAAGACATAAGTCTTGAAGATAATCCTAATAACCCCACGTTTGAAACAGAGAAATCACCTAAAACACCGAAAATAGATGCACATAAGCACCATGATGAAGCCAAACCTGTCAATCACAATGACCACAACACATCTCTGTCATCTAATAAAATTAAACAAAAAGGTGAAACAGTTATTGTAAAAGAGTCTAAAAAAGATAAAAAGCTTAAACGAAAGCGCAGTTCTAATGCTCGGAGCGATAATGCTATTCTTGATAGTACTGAGCTCAGTTTTGAGATGAGAATGGAAAGTGTGTCAGAATTACCGTTAAAAAAGAGAAAGCATAATTCTACGTCTAGTGGTCAGAACGAATGCGATTTAAGTAATGAAATTACTTGCCATGGGGTTGATACACCTAGGCTCAAAACAAATAACGAAGCCTCTTCGGAACATAAAACACAAAACCACTGTTCTGTGTTGAATGTTCATCCTAAAAGCACCTCTGGTGACCAGAAAGCATTGGAGAGATATAAGGGGGTCGAACTCAGGAAAAATGAGGCTGTAAATAAATCAAAAGGAAGGAAAAGAAGAAAGGACGTTTCCTCGTTAGGAATTCGAAGTCAAAGTATTTCTTCTAACCAAACATTATTTAACACATCTAATAAAAGCAAGTTACCAGACGGTATAACAGTATCATATAACTCGTCGAAACCCGAAAGGTGCAAACAGAATGCTCCACACAATATTGAAAAAGGAAAATGGTATCATGAATCTGAACTTTCTAATGACGAAGAATATTTCACGAGTGATGAAAGTTCTATTGAAGTAGATAACCCACAAAATAGAAGGTTAGTTATTCTGTAATGTTACATGTCTATTACTTAAAATATTTAACCTATGATTTGATTGTTTTAATAAGATTATTAAGAATTCCAGTTAGATTTGTGTGTTCTGTGCGAATTCTCGAGAATATATTTGTACCTCTGTATTTTATGTACTAAGTGAAATTCTCGGTTAGTAAACGCCGTAAACAGCTAATGGATTTAACTTTAGGGTCAATGTCCAAATCAACAAAACCAAGGATATGGAGCATAGGTTTCAATCATGATGTTGTACAACAGAAAGTTTTGTCCCTCACAGCTTGAAGTGTATTAATGTCAATTGTAATAAAAAATTGAGTTATTGTAAATGAAACACTAGAAAGGAACACACTGTTCTATTAGAAATTTATGTGTTCTTTTTGTCTTTCTAAAGCCTTCAACGTCAACATAGACGACTGTTAAATGAACGTTTATCAAGAACCATATTCGTTGGCAATTTACCTCTGAATATTACCAAAAAAAGAATGGAAGCTCTATTTAATAATGTACTGCAAAATAACAACATTTCATCCTCAGATTGCCGTGTTGAATCCGTCAGATTTCGTGGTGTTATTCCAGTTACTGGTGGTACTAGTAGATTAGCACGAAAACGTGCAGCTATCACGGGTGAATCTTCAGGTATATATTCCTAACACAGAATTTTTCTAGGTTTATGAATTATGCTTTTTGATATTGGCTAAGCAGTTGAAGCTATCAACCATCAAAAATAATTTTATAGGTAGCCAAGTAATATTATTAGAGTTCATTTGGCTCAAACCAAAAAGGTGGCATCATTGCTTGAAGTCACTAACTCCTATTCTTAGCCATGTTGATAGATGCAGACTACTTGGTTGGGGTCCACGTGACTATCGTAACCAATGGTTATAGACTCTGGGTGACATGGCTCAGAATCGACCACAATGGCGTGAGTCTATACACTCTTTGTGTTCCCTTAAACTATGAGATTAAAATCGCTTTATATCTTTCTTTTTTATCAACAAATTCTTTTTTTCCTGTTCTATATCCTTATACACAATCTTTATTTTATATATTGCCATCATTGAATTAACTACTTTTTTGAATTCGGTTTTCATCTTGTTGTTCTAATGAGGTATGGCAACTTGGACCGATGCATATATGTGCCTGGTCCTACATTTTAGCCGACTGACTGAATTTGTCTCAAATCTGCGTACACGAAACAAACTACTTGGCAAATGAGTCCCACTACATTGAGTTATTTGGGAGGTGGTCTAACAACTTGTTCTAGAGTCTCATATACAACTGTTTGCATAATATTCTGATATTACTATCATGGCTTTCAAAAAGTAGGATATATATCAGCTGCAAAAACTAGCTAAACCTTTGTTAATCATCATAAACGAGCATTAAATGTTTACAGCAACAATGCGAATTAGATAAATACGTTTCTTATCTTTCCTAACTGTGTAAACCAGTTAATATATAATAGTTGTCATTAAAAGAAACAATATGCTCTTTGTTGTTTTAATTACTATAGAAGCTCCTTTATATATATGACAACATAAAATCTCAGACTCTGAGTAACCGTTCTGATAAGAACAATAACGCCATTTGAGTCATTGTTTCAGATCTCGGCAGTTAAATTCCATACATTTTAGTAATTAAAAGTACTTTTGTTAAATCTCCATCGAACAATTAGACGAGTGTGATTCATACACTAGACAAGAGATATTTGTGATGACATGGTGGTTGGAGGTAGTCTACAGGAATCCCTAGATCACTATCTCATCACACGATGTCGATTCACCTAGACTTGTGACCTTACTCCAACTTGGTTGATAGAATTCAATCTGCACTAAGAAGGACCTGACACACATAACATTGATCACTACCCAGTGATCAATCAATTGTGAAGAGATATTTATCCTCTATACAATGATGGCAAGTATGTTATCTAATAACATTTTCTGTCACATAAAAAATATTCAGTTTATCTAGGATTTTGAATCACTTCAGTCAAAGAAGTTATAACTTTTAAAATAACAATTAAAAACTTTCACCCATTTATCAATCACAAATAATTGGATTATCCCAAGAATCATTGATGATAATCTACAAATAATCTCATTTGTGGTGATAATTTGAAATGTATTTATTTAACGAAAAGATTATTTTAACTATACTCTGAATGTTATTTATTTAACGTTAGTAGCTTGTAATTAGTGATTGATATACGGGGTAATAAAATAACATCAAGAACTGATGTAAACGATATCAAGAAAAAGTACTAAATTCAGTGTATTGAATAACTCATAAATTTTGAAAATTTATTTATTCTACAGGCAAATACAATTATATAGTGAGTTAAATGAAATGTATACTGATTATTATTCACTTAAAAAATTTATATTATCCTCTTAGTGATCTTAATAATCAAAGTATTTTTTTCTCTCATGTATATTAATGAAAATCAGGTGTTTCTAAATTTCGTATGGGTTATGTTGTTCTAACAACAAAGATCGGTATACCAATTGTACTTTCCTTAAATGGATGCTGTTTGAATTCGAATGGTTTTATTGTGAATCCGGAAGAATCAATTAATGTCATTGGTGATAAGACTGAATCTACCAAGAATGGTAATAGTAATAATAATACTAATGACGTATATCATATTCGAGTTGACAAAGCAACTGATGATAATGATAAAACACATTGTAAACTAGATAATTGTGTTTTTGTGGGCAATCTACCATTCGATTGTAATGAAGAAGAGGTTAGTTTACGTTTCTCTTTAAAGTATGAATTATCTATGTAATAAATTTGTAAAGATTTCTTTGATGTTTATTTTCGTGAGATTTCTGATTTGTCTTCTGCGATTTGTCTAAAATGAATTAAACAATGGAGTTTTTACATTCATAATTGAGTATCATCATGCGCTTAAACGGTCCATTCGCAATCTGATAAATCGTAAAATGTTATTCCAGTCTGTTAAGTTTTCTAACTTGATGTGTAAAATAATTTTTATCATGGAATAACATCGATCAGAGATTTGGAGAAAAACAAGAAGTAGTGAAAAGCTAGTTCACAGAGAAAAAAGTCCTCAACATCAGTCACTCTCGTTTATTGTGAAGCCAAGTATAAAATAATAATTAATTCCAACAAAATTAAGATCGAATTGAATCGCTGAAGTTGTTCATCGTTGAAAATATTATTCATCCAAATTAAGCGGAATGATTCAAAAGTTGATGGGGTCAGTTAATTGTGACTATTCACTAAAAGCCTTCAAGGACATTTACAATATTACTCGTTTTCTACCCGCTCAAAAATCTAGACAACCTATTTTCCAACTGCAAATATCGTGATAAATGTCCTTTTTTTAAATTTACTTAAAGTAATAAGTATGTATAATGTACTTCAGTCCTGTCATAAAAAACCCACAATTTTCCCCAATGCTTAATACTGAAAACCTCTATCATAAGCACCATTCTGGTTAGTATATTTTTTTCTTTGTTCATCCTATGAAAACTCAGAGACCTTCACTTTAGAATTCATACATCATATAATATGCTAGAAACATGTCGAACAATCTTACCGATGTAAATAGACTACAGCTAATCATTGTATATATTCATATGTTGAATGAGAATAAGACAGGAATTTTGTTAAAATATTGCACATTTTCTACTGAGAATTATGTACTTTAACTAAATATATAATATTAATTAACGTAAGCATTACTGTTATTATGAGCGAAGTAGGTCTTCAATTTTAAAATGAATAGATTTGTGATAAGAATATTGTGTGAAACCCACTGTACATGACCACAACTCAATCAGATGACATGAAATAGCCAACATTAGAGCTGATTTTGTAGAAACATTTCCATTTTAACATGTGAATCCATATAAACTCATCGTTCTTCCTTTGATGTGCTCTACATTTTTATTTCATAGATTTACAGCACTTTGTCTACATTAGGATCAATAAAAAGTGTCCGTCTAATACGTGATTCTCAAACTGGTGCTGTACGTGGATTCGGTTATGTAGCATACAACGACCCATCAATTATACCATTAGCTATACGTTCATCTAATACACTGAGTATACGTGGGAGACAAATAAGAATTATGGAGTGTAAAGTGAAGAAAATTAAAAATAAAGAAGGCGCTCAACAAATTAAATTTCATCGTCATCGTCACGATAAAAATAATAAAATATTCAATACTGATCCGAAGAAAAAGGATAAACGAGAAAAAAAGGCGATAAAGAGGGAAAAGATGAAGGAACAACAACCAGTCAAGTTAACTCATAGTAACACTAATGATGGCAATAATAAAAAGATGTCAGAAAACAATGAAGTACTTTTTAAGAAAAAAATACACAAAAAGAAGAAAAAGTTGAATAATATGCACGAAAAATAAACTGGTTAGAAACTGAGAAATTAATAATGTAAATGTGTATATGTATATTTTAAATATAATTTATACCATAATTTATATCATGTACATAATGTAACGATGCATATTGCATTAAATAAATAACTGATTGTAATTAGACTTTGTATATGCTAGTATATTTGGATTTAGAATTCAGCATTCATTATATATATATATATATATATATATATATATATATATATATATATATATATATATATATATATATATATAAGAGAGAACTTGTTTTGAATTTCATGTGGAGTCGTATTCATAAAGAATTTCATTATTAGGCAAGATTGATATTTATTCCTCCGACCTGTTATCAATGGCTCTTTAGCCAATCTTAGCCCGTGGCGAAAATTGTATCCAAACTTACGATAACATAATCACAATATGATTTTATTACTGAATATCCTTCGATATTTTAAACTTGATTAATCTCACACCTCGAAGCTTGCCATAAATCAACGATGAGTTAATCGACTCTGCAAATGGTGGACTGTTGAGCTCCAATCGAAATTACTACTTAATCTTCAGAATAATTCTTATGATAAGTTTAATAGATCTACTTTAAATATTCATGTTTAAGTAAGATAAAAAAACGCGAATTTTATTATTGAAAACTATCTGAGATCTCAAATATATTCCATAAAGATGTCGAATCTTTAAAGCAGGATAAACGACCTATATTTGAATATTGCATAGACTAATATATTTAATGGTGACATTCTTTTTACCGTCATTACTACTGTTCCAGATATGGCTTAAATTTCTTATCGTGCATACAAAGAAAGGAGGAAAAAGTCATCGTAGTATTAAGTAATGCACAAATAAACCAATCTAACCAAACTCAGTTGTGTGAAAGTTTGACTTTCCAATCTAACCAATTTACATTATTGTATGTTTCGATATCAAGGTTTAACTTGAAAATTTTCAAAGAATTTGAGCTTTGTGTATAAAGTTAGTGACAAAATATTATATTTGTGATATCACAAGTGATGGAAATTCGGATTTCTGACGTATTTATCTGCCCTGAAGAAGTATCCTACATTACGTCAATAAATCCAAATTCCTACATGTTGGGAGACTACAAATACATCGTTATTTTATTGGTAGGAAGTGTGATTTTGATGGAGGTCACGTAACGAAATAACTGTTAACAGCGACTTCACATGAAATTGCCCGAATACTAGTTCTTGGTATCCAATACCATATTCTGTTTACGGGGAGATATATACATGATAGTATGATACTCTAGCTGGTTAAATATGTTTGAGGAAATTATTAGTATAGTATTGTGAAGTATTCTACAATTGAAGAACATATGCAACTCAAAATAACTGTCAACCAGTATCAAAGTCAGAATCTTCAATGCGAACGTTAAAAGTTCTACTGTATGGAGTTGAAACTTGAAGAACTACCACAACCATCATCAAAAATGTACAGATGTTTATGAACAATTGTCTACGCAAGATACTCAATGTCTGCTAGCCTACTGTGGGAGAGAACAAACCACTTTCCAGCTGAAGAGGAAATTAGGAAAAGACGCAGGAGGTGGATAGTATATACATTGGGGAAATCACCAAACAGCATCACTAGGCAAGGGCTAACTTGGAATCCTGAAGGGAAACGGGAAGGTGGAAGAACTCACTGCACTGGGAATCGGAAGCAGAAACCAAAAGGACGAAGAGTAACTGGAAAGGACTGTTCAGGACGGAGTTCGATAGAGAATGTTGATGGGTGGCCTATGCTCCTCCATGAGGGGTAACATGCATAAGTAATTAATTATGAAGTACAGTGTCGATTTTGAAGTCATAAGCTATACCACCATTAAAAACTGGGAAGCACCGGACAGCTGTTTTGTCCTAATGCGGAGCTCGTCAGCACCGCGGATCCTGACCTCTGGGATCAAATCTGGAACATTCCGTCTCGCATATAAACGTTTAACCACTGAGCCATCACCCAACAGTTTTAACGTCCAACCTCAATCAGTTCACGGTATTGCGCGATTATTCCTTATTGTCTGAAGTGGGTAACTGTCTTACACCTGACATGGTCAAACTCCACTGATCACGGCTTCTTACCAGAACTCCAAGAATTACGTCTTGAAGCTATTTATTTGTGAGCACATGATTATTTATCAGTATGCAGCTTTTTGGATGGTGAAACAGCTGTTCGGTGCTTCCTAGTCTTCAATAGTGGTCTAAACAAGATCAATTCGTGATTTACAAACTATGAAAATTCTATAATCTCTACAAAACCCTATACTTATGTGCTCAGTAGTGACTAGTTTCAAGACGTAATTCCTAGAGTTCTAGTAAGAATCCGAGATCAGTGGAGTTTAAGGACCACGCGGACATAGATACTGAGTCCAGTGGGCCAAATACGCAAAATTTTAATCGTAATACTGACAAATATTTATTAATTTCAATCAGTGATAAGCAACGTAAAACTTGGCAGATATGTACATCGCTTCAATTTACCACACCCTATTAACATGGCAAGATGAAGTCGCTAAGGCAAATTTCAGAGTAGTATAGGTGGAACAGTACTGGTAGTAATAGACATCGGAAAGGGAATACAGATTTGCGGAATCAAAGACTATAGTGATTTAAAAGTTTAGGATCTAAGGGAAGATGGTGAATGTACCTGCGCCAATGCAAACAATTTAGAGCCATGTCGCCCAAAGTCTCTTAAACATTGGTTACGATAATCACACAAACCCCAACCAGGTAATATACACCTCCCTACATGATTCAGACTAACAGTCATAGTTTTCATGGTCTGATGCAACGTTTACTCACACAATTTTCAACGCTAACGATGCTACTCTATGTGATAAGTTTACGTGCAAAATCTCTTTGATTCTGAAGCTTGTTCTCCGTCAACGTCGCATGTTTGAAGCATTCTTTCAAACCATTGTGACTTTGAAAGTTTAACAAATCCGTCTGAAGATCATGATTAACTACCTTAATCCTAAGAAAACGTGGAGCACTCAGCTAATCAAACTTTCATCCTAGTACTTAAAAATCCTCAAAACGTGAAGAACCTACCTGTGTGTTAGAATTTGATAGTTATATTCCTGAAATGCCAGGAAGACTACTTTTATGTTGAGAAACAAACGTAGTTGAGTTCCTTAAACTGCCAAAATAACACCATGAACTTTGATTTTAAACATATTGACTTCTGAGTAAAGTACACTGATCAAAACATCACTTTAAGATTTTCAATTCAGCTTACATTTCTAAAAAATCTCGAAAACTGTCATTCGTCTGTCTCTGTCTTAGTTGCATTTTGGACACTGAAAATAACTAATGCTAATGTGACTTTGTGAAGAAACAATCTGTCTAGTAAAGAGTTAGTAATTAAAAACTATCCACATTTCACATTGGATTAAAATTGGAAGATGTAGGGATCATTAAAATTTGGCCTTTAAAATGTATACCAGACAATTAACAGTCATTTTACGATCGACATAGTACACGTTGATGAATGGTTTTCACAGTTATCATAACCGAATACCACGTTGATCTCAATGAATAATTGAAATGGGTAGTGGAATATTCACTGATTAAATATCCTAGTTTTTTAAAAGAACTGGACATGAACAAACCAGAAAAGGAAAACTCAGGTATCTTTTTTCCAACGTATACATTAAATTTATCATACTAGCTAAAAAATCTTATAAATGTATCAAAAACAGGAGATAAATTTAAACAGGAGACTTTTGAACACAGCATATATATATATATATATATATATATATATATATATATATATAAACAAAACGATGAAAGTGATGGCAAATACGCGAGAGAGAAAGAGAAAAGAATGATCTTTTATACAGAGAGGCAATATTCGTTGAAAACCTCAAGTGTAAGTATGCATATAATATACAGTATGTTAAATATGAATTACAGCATCGTCAAATAAACAAAATCGCGAAACTGATTGTTACTATCACTATTATTATTATCACTACTTTTTTTTAATTAGTCTTCAGATGATGTTTCCATGCCTTCTGTGACTTCTTCTTCTTCAAGTGTTTCCCATGATGAATCATCATCACCATCATTTGCTCGACCCATGGCTTCATTAGACTCTGCCTGAGAATCTGTGAGAGCGTTTTCAGCATTTAAAATAGGATTTATATCATTATTGTTCGTGACTTCATCAACATTAGCGGACTCTGTGATGTTCGAATTCGCCTCTGTGCGTCGACGGCGTGTACGTCGTCTTCTAACACGTTGTTCATTTGAAGATGGGCTCCAATCACTTGAATCACTGGTACTTATATCATCTGAAGATTCATCAAGTATTTGTGCAAGTTCGTCAGAAGCATCTCCATTCAATAAATCATCATCATCGTCGTCATCATCATCATCATCATCTTCATCATCCTCTTCATCTTCACGACCCTCTTCATCATCGTTGTCAGGTTCACGCTCCCCCTGAAAAAAATAACGATTCAAATATTCGAAGTAATAATTTCTAAATGGTAGAGAATGTCACTAATCCAAGGAAGCGTTTGGATTGAAGTGAGGTAATATCATGAAACAATGAATTATTTAATAATCTATGATTATTCAATTTTCGGTCAAATTAATCCATCATAGTTCGTGATACATCTATGATTGTGCAGCATGAAACTATGCTATTAGAATTGTAAAGAGTTTAACTGGTGGATAGTTGTCCTGAAAACCAGCATAATGATGAACTAACCTCTCAAATATTATGAATACATGATTCTAGATGGTGAAGAGGTAGCTGAGTGGTTCAGTCATTGGCTTTCATCAACCAGCAGATCTCAGGACCGAATTGAACTTCACAGCCGGGTACATGTACATGAACTTAATCAATTAATTAAATTATTCTCAGAACAGAATTATAGTGGGTGACACAAACACCCGAATAGGTAGCTTTAGCCAAGAAGTAGGATTCCTGGATAAAGCTTTTCACATTGAAACCTAGCGAAAAGACAGTGGTTTATATCTGTAAAGTGCCAACTTTAAATACATAAAGAGACATGGCTTGACATGATTACATCTGGGACAGATTAAGTGCTGGACACGAAATACTCTACATATCCATACCAGTCACATCTGATATTCCTTAAAAAAGTAGTCAGGTTTTTAGCTTAACATCCACCTTCGTGAATATCACTTTATTTAAAGTGAAAAACGTGTAAATGAACATCAGTAATAATGATAGTAATCAGGAACTTACGCGTTTACGACCAATCATGTAAATTCTACACTGAGTGATAGGCTCACTACTGTTATTTTCTCCTATTTTCTCGACTAGTGCCAACGACTGTCCTGCAGTATCCAAAGCTAATTGCTCAATTCGATGACGAACATCAACTGAAGCAATTAGGCTATAGTCTATAGCATCGACTGTACGAAACATATTTTGCATAGCTAAACGACTACTGCCTAATTCAGCATACTCTTCATCGTCTAAACCAAATATTCCTAAAATAGTGCACAAAATCAACGTTAAGTTATATATATAGGGTAGAAATCATTGCTTGGAAAAATAGAGATTTACATAAACCTACCGGCGTATATTACATCATATGAAGCGTTGAATTGTACTTCAAGTCGATCAAGTGGTTGGATAGTATGCAGTAATCTCCATGTTCTTAAATCCCATACAGCTGAACCAATAATGATTTCAAGCCCATTTGGATGAAAAACACCTGATACGATATCTTGAAATTTATCAAATTTATGTATAGGTCGCGAAGATGTACCAGGATATTGTAGTGAACTGGAGAAACTAGTTGAAAGTAATCCAGTACATCTTAGATCCCATACAACACCATCATTTAATACTAAATAATCTGTTGGTGAGAATGTTGCCTTATTTAAAATGTATCCACTTTGTTTCACAGCAGAGAATAAATCTGCAACACGAGTTCTAGTAGTAAGATCAAATACCTGGAGGTATTGAGAAGTAATTTAACATGATTAGCGTAATTCATAAGAGATGTAAAAAAAGCAGTACTGCTTTGACAGAATAAACCCACTGTATCTCAACACATATAAAATACTACTATAAAATTATACTGATAGAGAATCGACGTATCACCTCCTGTACTCTATATTATTACAGTTCAATATACAAATCAGGTATCCACCTTAATTGTTTTAATCATACATCTTTTGTGCTATTCAGTCTTACATTATGATTTTCGGTTGTATTAAAAATATTTCTCTCAACTTCATCAAATAAATTATGTTAGACCTCAATTTAGAATGAATTATTACTTTTTCTTGTAATTTTTAGACTGTTTGTAGCAGATGAGAAGCTGTAAAATAAAATGAATTCAATTGTCATCTTTTCTTTGTTGAATCACATCATTCGTTGTTAAGAAATTAGGTATTATTTGATGTTTATTATTGTATTACTACTGAATCATTCTTTACAACTCTCTCGAAATGAGCTGTAAAGAAATAAAATGATAAGCAATTCTATTACTTATGTTCTATATATTCGCAACGATTTTTTAAGGATTGACAATAGCACTCATCATGATTATCATACACTGGAATTTGTCCATGCTTAGAAAATATTGATATACTTTCAATTTTTAACTAAGATAATAATTATTGCTTAGGTAAAATGATTGGCATTACAGTGTAATGGGCTTATAAAAATTCTTGAATTTCATAGTTTACATCAGAAAATGACTTTAGTTAGGTAACCATTCAAAAGTAAGGAACACTAGATGGATATTTTATCCTAGTATAGGATAACTTGCCAATCCTTCCTTGATTTCCAAGTAGTTATATAATACAGGTCGGTTCTCGATGTTAACTGTAAAAATGACTATCATATAGAGTTAAAAAAGAGGTAGACAAATATACATATTTTCTAAATACCTAAAGAGACTGCTTTTTCTGTAAATCAGTACTATTGAAAATAATTATTCTCTATTAAAATAAAATTGTGCTTTATAATCGATTTCAATGTGTGTTATTACAAATGAAAGAATCATTCATTGACAAAAAGTACTGCTAAATACGCTTATAATTAAATAATAATAATAAAAACCAATTATTTATTACAATCAAATATAAACCTTAGCCATTTTTCCATAGGTTGCTACCAGACGATCTTGATGACCTGTATTACTAAATTCTGCATGACGAGCTTCTGATACACGAAATCTTCAATTTAAGAGAAAACAAAATAAATATCAGAATTATAAATAATGAATGAACTAATTGATCTATAGTTAATTTATGAATGATATAATTATAAATCCATGATATTTTGTATAAAAGTGAAGTTAGAAAAGGTGCAAAATATCGATCATTTTTAATAACTTTAAGAAAGTAGAATTAATTTCTAGCTAATTAGAATGCAATGAACATAAATGAATAATTTATTACATAATCCCCTCCCCATCAACAAAAAGGGAAAAGATTTAGATGTTTAGATTAGGAACTAGGAGTGAATAGTAATAGTAAATAATAAAATGAATGTTTTGTAGATATATTGATGAATATCGGTGTTGTTTGTTTTTCAATTAATTTCATCCATCAAAAATATTATATACAGTTTAATTATATCTATTTTATTCTCTCATGAAACACTAATCCATTTATTACTGCCATTTTAAAAAATTGAACAAGTCCATCTATTATATTTAGTCTCACAATGTTGACCAATTTTAAGTACATCAGTTGATTAAATATTGATAGATTCTAACAAGTATTTAATTGTTGATAAGACACAAGTCATTAGTGATCACACTTTGATTTAGTGTATAATAGTTCAATAGCTACTATCTTAAATCTGAATTATTCGCTAGTACAGCATAAATTTATTAAAAAGCTTAAAGAAATGGAAAAGCTTCTTTATTAGTCTTGTTCTTCTAAACTCATTAGAACGAATAGAAACTATGCGTCTATAATATACATTACTATCATTATTGTTATCGTTATTATTATTATTATAAATAAAACGTAAGAGAGTAGTCCCATTTTCATATAGCAAGATTTTGAAATGATGATGAAGATTTGTAACAAGGAGGTTGTTTAAAACAACAACTCAATCAGTCACAACTTATAGAATGTAATACTGCAAAACAATTTAACAATATCTTAATGAAAAGTAATTTAAAATGATGAAAAACCTCTATCGTTAAGCTTTTTTTTTCTTTGATACTCAAGATATCACACTTTGTATTCATTAAACACGAATCCTCGAAAGTACACATTATTATATTTCATGAAATTTCTTTATCTGGATGAATCAAAATTTTAATGTTAAAACTCAGAATACAATACTTCAGAAAATTATCACTATTGGGCTAATTGAGTTTAACAGAGATTAGACACTGAACATTCTATTTATATCAATGAATCTTGATACAACGACTTATAGATATGTAGTTAACTAATGAATAATAACATTGTCAATACTCATTAATACATAGATTCTTGTCTTCATTCTAAACTCTTAAAACAATAATGTCTATTAAATAGATTAGATAAATTCAGTCGTCTAACACCATCATGCAATGATGTTATTTTAAGATCAATTAATCTAATCACTACGAAACAAATAAAATTTGTAAATGTTAAAACTAATAATAGTATATTTGGTATGCGATTGACGGTGGAATCTATGACGGGTATTTCATTCTCTTTAGGACTCAGTATTTGAAAGCACCTGTATACCATTGCTAATCTTCACACTGAGACTTGAACCCAGTGCCTTTCGCTTCAAACGCCTGGCGCGTTATCCATTGATTTACTGACTTTCGATAGTTATTAACCTGCTAAATGGATATTTAATATAATCAACAATAGTAACATTAGTATTTCACCATAAATACATGCGTATGATTATATTTGACATACACAAAATCATCAGAAACAGTCTCCCAAGGACTGTTTGAATTCGAGCCTGTATTTGTGGATGGTTTAAGTCTAGCAACAACCGTAGCAGGTTCATTCCATTCAGAACAAACTAATAAGCGTTCACCATCACGTGTATGCGCCAAACGTCGAATAGATGAAGATTGTATATGAAATAACTCTATGGGTAAACCATCTTCTTCAACATTAACCCATGCAATAGCTCCTGAATTCGAACCTAAAAACAGACCATCATCTGTTCTCTAAAGAAAAGCAACATAAGAAATTGAATTATGCATTTAAATACAATTATTTTAGTAAACAAAACTCAGTGCTACTACCAAACGTTTTAAGTTATATCAAAATGAGGAGATATGAAGTGTGTATAAAGTGATTTGACATATCTACTTTGATGAATGATTCACAAAAGACAGACACACCAAGATATTGTAACTAAAAAAAAGATAAAAGCAATTATTTATATGAATACGATCATGAACAATTCGTCATGGAATTAAACCACCTCATTTTACCGCTACATGGAACAGATTGATAAAACAACGACCAAATAAATGTATTGGTCTACCGTTGAATTTATTCTACGTAAGCCATTTTGAAAGTCCCTAAAACCCAAAAGCTACTCTACACACTTGTTTCATCCAAGTTTCAAACTCTTCAGTTTTATTATTAGTCACTGATGAGTACAGATTTGTATACTTGGCTACGTGTGAGGGCTGGTCATAGTACACATATGCCCAAACTGAAGTAGGTGGAGAGCAGTTTGAACTTAAGACTGAGTATTTGATTTGCTTTGAACACATAAATACTGGTACAAGGAGGCACCAAATACATATGCGCCACACAAATCTCATTTGACCTATGTGAGGGCTGTGATACTGCCCGGGTGCCCAGACCGAAGCAGGTTGTTTTCTTAGGGGGCCACACCCCGAGCCTTTGACCTAAAAGTCTAACCCACAAGGCAGTGGAGCATCGTGAGGAGATGCAGTCCCATGGAAGCCGGTGACCAACAATTGGCTCATACGCCATTTGTTCCCGCAGGATACTGGAGCCCATGTGCACCATTGGTTTGGGATCCGGTTAAAGCGCCGGACATTCGCTTTTCGTCCTCTCAATTTCGTAAACAGCACCCCCACCACGAGAAGGCAGTGAGTAGGACTTCCCTGGCAGAGGCTATATACGCGTGGCCAAGTGAGAGCATTTCGAGAGGGAGAGCTGACTCTTCTCACTCTCGGGGGTACCAGAGCATTTGGGGGCTAAGATTAAGTATGTGAAAGTCGAACCCCTTAACCACTGGGACGTTATTCTACAAAATCTCTAGTAATATGTACACAGAATATATGAAATCCATACCACAAAGAGCAATATATCACTCCTTATCCACTGAGTGAAGATCGGTTAATCCATATCTACCAACTTCACTCGGTTTTCATTACGATCTTCAACATAGGTACATCTGTGTTTAATGCTGTATACAATACTATTGAAATGGTTTAAAAAGAACAAAACAAAATATGTATTTATTTATTTAATTGCTTTCTTTTATTAAGATCTTATTCTATAAATCTGTCTTAATACAAACACCAACTTTCCCGTTATAAAGAAATGAAATCCACTGAATGTATAACACTGTAAATTCAAACTTAACTGGAAGAAATCTAATAATGAAATACAACTGTCTACTCTTACAAAACAATTAATTAGATATTTTAACTGATAAATCAACACATCAAGTGTAGACTTATGTTTTAGTTTCCTAACTTAATGAGAATTATTTACCAAGTAAAGGTAAATTTATGTACTTTATATGGAAAGGCTAATAATATTATTTGACTATCTAATTCTAATTAAGTGACATACTGGTTGAAAGTACTTTAACTCCTAAACAACTGTTTTGTTTGAGTAAAGACAATTGTCATAACGACCAGAAAAGCATTATTATATAACTGAAAATACACATTAAAAAACGCTGTACTTACCGAAAAACAACATGCTGTTAACATATCATCATCAGCCTCTCGGATAACTGCAGTTGGTTGAAATCTTCGATGTAAAAAGTGTCGAAGTTCTTTTGTTGATGGTTTAAGTCTTAATGAACCACAAAGGTCTTCACGTAGAAGTAAACGTTGACAACAATTGGTTTGTTTATTAAGCCGAGGTTCTGGACAGCGATGTGGATAATACAAAGAGAATTTCGGGCAAACAGAAACAGGATGAGGACATTGTGAATGTTGATGCAACAGAAATGATTCTACTACTTTAGATAAGGTCATTTCCGAGACAGGTTGAGTAGATACTGGTTTGAGGTAGAGATTTGGTAGACCAGGTCTTTCAAAACGATCACGACAAGGCTGAAAAGAAATAATAATAATAATAATAATAATAATAATAATAATAATAATAATAATAATAATAGAAATTTAAATCAGTATTGGTTAACAAAAAAATCTCATCAAATACTATCTAAAGTTACAATAAGACAACAAAATTAAGAATTTCAGAAACATCGTTATTATTTCAACTTAAGTTAAATAATGGATCAATTCGTTTGTGAATCAAAAGCAAAGAGAAAAAACAATTAGATAATTAATTTATTATTTTGTGAGAAATGGATAAAGATACATCCAATTAACTATATGTACAACAGTCATACAAATCAAATAAATCAACATATAACTATATAGGCTTTAAGTTATTATCATTATAAAGCTTGATTAAGCTTAGAAATGATTATTTTCTTTATTGTTCACTGTAGTCACTAGATCAATAAATAAGGAACCTTTCATATGGTTTTCATCTTATCATAATGACAGCAGTACAGCGATACATTTATGGTATAATGACTCAATATGTGATACACCTTCAACTCTCCCCCCCAAAAAAGTCTGATAAATGAAAAGTATGATCGTGGATGAAAGCTAAGTGTTTAAAGCAATAAGTTATAATCTTAAACGAGTTATAACGATAATACAAGAACTAATGTTATCAGTATGATATGCTTAAGCCTGGACAGCTAATTATTTGCCCCAATTTGTTCCGACGATTAGGAGAAAACAGTGATCGGTGACATGATGGCTTTTACTTCTAACCATAATTAGTCACTCGTTATCCGATTTGGTTGCAATTTATTTCCCTGAGTTAGGTGGTTTGATCGTGAAGCTTTCATTGTCTCTCTAGACAATGTCATTGAGTTATGAGAATTTCATCATAGAATACTAGTAGTTTGTACTGTTGATCTTAAATTCAATTGGTTGCTGTTGATAGTCATCATTTGGCAGTATGAACATTTGTTCTGTTTATCTTTCCCTTGACCTTATTTCTGGCCTTGTAGTTGTTTATGGGTTTTTCTGCGGTTGAAAAATGGTTTTATTTCAATATGGACATTGATTACTCACTGGCTTCAGTAATAAGCTTCTAAAAATTATGTTATATTCTTTGTGTTGCCCTCGTCTAACATTTCAAAATCTCAGGATTAAACCATCCAGCTCAGAAAACGTAATTTCAACAAAATTATCTTTCTGAGCTACGAAGATGCACCACTTATTATTCAATAAATAATTCAGTCACATTATCTTGATTGAATAGTTTATATATGCATGATAGATTTAACTCTTTAATTTATTCACTAAAACGGTCAGCTATTCTATTTTATGAAGTCTCTTTAGGGCTTAGTTTGACCCAACCAAATTTTGTTTTGTGTATAACACCAATAAAACATTGCAGTCATGGAAAACAAAGAGCACGACTATTGTGGCAAAGTATATTAAACTCTGAGATAACACAAATACCTTATTACAAGATCGAGGCCAGAAATATTAAACAATAAAATTTAATCGTAATATACAAGCTAGTTTGAGGCATTATGGAACTTAAAGCTTCTGAATAAAATTGCAGATCATTAGTTTATGTCGTTGATTGATCTCAAAATAATGATGAACAGTTACATAATCACATTAATCCAACACTGGATAGTAAGTCAATTTAATGTTGTCTAGTCATACAATGCTGACTGATTCATTCCAAATAAAGACATACGACTGGAAACTCTTTACATTTTTCGAAGTTTAAAGATCTAAGAACATTGAAAAACCGAAAGGTTAGATAAATAGCAATAGTGAAATCATACAAGAAAATTGCTTACTTTCGGAGTTTGACTAGGAGTTGCATTATGGCGAATTTTAGTTAATCTCAGATTTGGAGTTGGAGGAAGTTCACCACAAGTATTGGTAGTAGTAGTAGTATTATTATCATTATTTGAACCAATATTCTCACAATTAGAAACCATCGAAGTTGATTCATTGGTATCGTAATCTCGTTTTGAAGAGCTATTATACGAATCAACGCTTGTGCTTAAATAGTCAGAAACGTGCACAACTCCAGATGACGGTTGATATGGAGGTGTTTCACCAGGTGGTCGGCTAAAATCATCATAAAGCGGCAATTGAATAGGTGCGGCAGGGACAATTTTTAAACGAGCCTCACGTTGAAGTACTGTAGCAGATTCATACAAGCCTATAAATTACATATCAATACAAAGGAACATGAAGAATAGTAACATTTGAATAGCTCAGTGATAACGAAAAGCTCGGTTGAATAAAGTTCAAATCCAACAGAAAACTTTCCCATATATCAGATTAAAAGGTAAAAAGTAAAAACACCGAGTTGTTAATTTTCTTTCTTTGAACGTTTTCGTCACAAGCTAAGTTTGATTGGTGAACCACTGAAAATCAGGATGCATTAGATAGTTAAACATAACACATTTGTTGTAATACCTGAAGGTTTTAAGTTTGGTTTCATTATAGTAAAGTTACTACGTACATACTATTATTAAACAATCCAATACTAAGACGAAACACCTGTTGATCAATGCTACTATTCTCAAAATAGAAAAAATATCCACATGCGACCAGTCAAATGATTTCTTGAAAATGTAACAGAAGATAAAAACAGTTTTAATGAATACAACGCATTTCTATTCATTGATAAACTTCAGTGAGTAACATAAACGATTTTAATCGTTTATCATTTAATGATTTTTGTAGTATCTTTAATTTTAAGTTAAAGTTATTTTTCATTTATTACTATACATGAATGACATTTTTCCACTGGAACAATTTTCGAAGCAAATAATCGAAAAGATAATCTGGTGCTAATTAATTGAATAACTAGAACGGGTATGATTGTATCACTGCTTTAAGGTTTATATAATCGAGGATTTTAAACCGCAAACTTTATGTGATAGATGGCAATTTTATCCTGTTACCTAAGGGGGAGCAAACAGAAAGGGAGGATTTCTAAACTCTCAACATAAGGATTAAAAATTTATCCAAACGAAACTAAGAAAAATGAGTTTAAATAGGTTTGACAAAAGTAAGTAACTAAAACTAATTTATGATTTTAGTTAAAACTGATCGATTAGAGGAGGCGGTGGCTTAAAGATTAAAGTACTTGATTACAAGTTTAAACCTTTATTTGACCTACTTCGGTTTGGATCTTATTTGTAAACTTATTCACCAGGTACTTAAGTATGAGTGACTCCAAGTGTCAGGGCTAATGATACTACCCGATTATCCAAACCGAAATAGGTGGAGTGAGTGTAGAACCTTGGACTTAGTGGCTAAACGTCCAGCCCCTTAACTACTAATCCACTGCTTGTTTTGGCAGTCAAATAAAGTCACTAAAGTTTGCTAAGTCTGACTCAAAAGAAAAAAAACATATATATCCTGTAAAATATTTTTATCGACTGATCAAATTACGCATCGAGACACGCTATCGTGGATCGATTTGTATTTGATAAAAGGGTCAACTGGAAAAAACATATGAGAAATTTCGTTGCGATATATCAAGAAGAAACTGAATACAGGCCATCAACCATGTATACGTCTGTAAAACAAACTATAATCATGCGGTTAGTAAAACTATCTTAGTTCGCTCAATTAAAAAGCAGAGTACACATTCGTGAACTGATAGCTGGAATTCGGCCATCCAACTTATCTGGCAGCTGCTTCTCTATTGGCTAAATATACTTGAAATATTCGAATTCCGATCATTGGATCACAGGTTCAAATTGTGCTTCAGTTAGTTCAGTGTAAGCAGTTAATTAATTTCGTTAGTTAAAGCACAAAATATGTTGCTCAAAACTGATAACACAAGTATTTACTTGATTAATGTGATATATTCATCTAATTTCAAACCAAATAGAAATCCATGCTATTAAAACGATTGGAAATATCTTTGTTCAACACCAGAGATAATGTGAACCGAAATCTCTTTAGATACTTACAATAGTGAACTACAAATGTTTGGAGATAGAATAAATAATGCATTTTCTGATGAACAAATAGTATCAATAAACAAAGGACTTTTTTAATTCCTATCAAATACTAATAGTACCGAGAATAAGTTAAACTTGATTGAATAAACTAACTGAAGAACATGATTTAAAAACACTATCTAGTGATAGTAATAGTAATAACAGCGATAATCAAATGAGAATATATCTGTATATTTTTGGAAGAGAAACTCAAAACAAGTTGCTTCAAGTATGATAAGGCTATTTCACAAGGCTAATATTGGTGCAATATCAATTAATTATCATGAGATTTTTTACAAATTGATGAGAACCTGGCATATCTCATTTTCTAATCGTTCAAAAACTAAATTAAATACCAGTTAAATGCAACACAAAGAAAAGCACAAACAATAATACGTGTATCATCTTATACTGCATATTACCTTTGCTTTGTAAATGTCGATAAATTAATTCTAATAATTCTTCTTGATCCCATTGTATTCGGGTTTTTGCAACTATTTCTGCTCGACGAACACGTTCCAATGACATATCACCCGATAAAACACCATCGGATAAATTTCCAACAACCAGACGTATAAGCATTGTAGCATAACGACAAAATTCTGCATGTTCAGTCAATCGATCAGGTAGGACAGGTTCTTTCATAAGTACTATGTAAATACATGTAGTATATAGATATAAATTGAACGAAAACAATATAATGAAATCTTCATTACTAACAAGTAAATAATACACCTTACAACATTATGCAAAAACCAAGTTGATGTAAAACTGAATTTAGAGTACATATTATCAAAAAAACTCAACCTATACCCCATTAATAAATTATCAGTATACTCATGAGATGACTATGTCAAAAGAAAATGTAATAAACTGACTGACCCAAAGAAATAATGTGTTTTTAAAGTTCACTTACATAACAAAACTGTTCAACATAATTATGTTTAAGCTAAATATGACGTGGGCTAAACACACAAGGATAAGTATTCAATTAATGACGCTATCTTGAAACCTGGCTTCAGTGGTTTGAAGATGTCTTTCAAACTGGCCCAGATCGATACTCACATCCTGACACCGACATTAGATGTGTAAGAAGAAGTGGTTTCATTGTAAAACGATGTTATGAAATGAAAGATAACTATGTTGATTTACAACTCCTTGAACAGACTCTTGGATATTGTGCAACTCAATGGTTCGAAATGTTATCAAACACCGTATACTGCAAATGTTGTGTACGATCTATACCTTGGTGATCTTACGTATCAAGCACTTTTTATTTCATGATTAAATAAAATAATATATTCGGAATTATGCAACAGTAATAGAACGCAAAACTGATTATTATATTTATTTATGTGGTTACTTTAAAAAAATAGCTTCCAAACAAATATTTATTCCACTATAACAAATATCCATAACTAGTTGAGACAACAAAAACAGCTTACATTGTAAAAGAGCTTTAGTAAATAGTGGAAGTTTGGCCAACATACTACGAACTTCTTCAGATCGTGCAAGTCCGACTAAACCTCGACAAGCTAAAGTTCGAACACTATCAGCTTCAGATATTGGTTGTTTGGTTTCTAAATGATAAAGTAATACCATTATACCATGTTGCCGTCGGACAATATTCCACAATTTCGCTTGACGATAAAGAAGTTGAGTTGATTTTTGACGCCCGAATGGAGATGGCATGTAAGATTCAGAAAATTGAACTAAATGCGTTCCTGTTTGTTGAGATGGAATGGATGGTTGATTAAGTCGAGAACACAAGTTTGATGAGATGGAAGATGGTGAAGATAGCGCTACGGTTTCATCATAACGACGTTTTCGGTTAACTGAACCGCGTGAACCATTTGTACGCTGCGGAGCCTATAAATTAGAAGGACGAAAATAAAAGTGAAATTTATGTTTTAGAAAGAAAATCTATTCCTACAAAAAACTTGTCAGTTAGCAAGCGGATCATGTAAAATAATCGGTTTTGATCAACCATGTTTATAGGGATGTTGCAGTAAAAGAATAAGAAGACTGATAACCCAGTCGAACAACTGAAATTGTGACGAAATCATTACTCCCTTGACATAACTACACACTGAAATGGACAGTAATGCAATATACACATCCGAGCATGAAATCTATGTTCGGGTCTTTTTAATGGTTGGCTCGAACCACCACATATTACACTCAGTATCGAGTACTTTAGATCAATAGGCACATTATAAATTGGTTGATAGAATTCAATCAGCACTAGGGACTAGACGAACAGAAGATTAGTTATTACTCAATGATCAGGCGATGAGAATATCTCAATTCTACAAGAGGTCAATTGTGGTCCGAACGGCTTAAGTGTAGCATTTCTGTGAATGTGGCACTCATTAACAAGTACTCGAATTTCACAGGGAACAAGAGTTTCCTCACGATTCCAGACTCTCTCTGCTGGTGAACGACAATTAGTACAAAACTTAGATCTAGGGGCTCTGTCTCAACTGATTACAAACGCCACAATTAAATGTATAAACGTCATACCGAAAGTACGAATTAGTTAATCTGATGTTGTGAAACACTGAATGAGACGAATAGACAACTATTAATCTAGGTCGTCACCATCACCGTCAAAAAAATAAATGAATCTGTCAACCATACACTACCTTGGGTAACCAAAGTATTTATACATATGGGAGCTATCACGATTTAATAAATATATTTGATAAAACTAGTCAAACGCTTCTGATTTTCGTTTGTAAAGCATGAAAAAAACAAATATTAAAGATTAATAACTACAAAGACTAATCATTTACCTTAAATGAATTACTACTCGGTGTAATACTCGTTGGATTTCGAGGAGGCGGTGGTGACGAAGGTGCATGATTTCCCATATTTGAATTCGGTGCAGAAGTGAAATTCGATAATAAACCGGTTACTGAAATAGGTTGATCTGGATGTTCATGTTCTACAACTGGACGATAAACTAATGTGCATATAAATGCTAAAACGGCTTTATGAACCGATACATCCCAGTTGTCGTCTTCACGTGAAATACTAAATAGCATGCTGGAATATACAAAAAGAATTTAAGGCATAATAGACTTATAACCTACAAAATTCACCGATAGAGTCATTCCTACTACTGAAAAAGGTATATTGTATTTAAAGATTAAGATAAAACATACTGATGCTAATAACAGTTAGGAATATTAGAATATATTAAAAACAAACGTGAAAATCACTAGAAAGTGTCACGAGAATAACACCTAGATGTGTTACGCTGGTTACCAGACGAATAAGTTGGACAAAGGCTGGAGATGACTGTTGAAATGCGAAGTACTTGAATAGGGCTCCTGAGATCAATGTGACTTATAGTAAGATACATTAGGTGACGTGATTCAAAATCGGTTGTAGTACCACATAAGCATCCTGAAAATCAACACTTTAGAAAAGCTTACAAGTAGTTGTGTTCATAAAATATTAAAGACGAGGAATTTACCACTTGTCAAGTTCCGAAACATAAAGACAGTTTTATTGTATCTCTACCCGAAATTGGTGTGTAACCGTGTCGACTGACAGATTTTGTGGTAACGAATATCATTGAAAGAATACTCTAAACTCACTCCTGAATTAAATCACGGTTAAGTTAGTGTTTTTCATCAACTTCACCTCACATAATTTTGTCTCTGATTCGTACTTAGATGTAACACTGGTATCATAGTATAGTGAAAAAGAACTACGGGTGGCTAAATGCATATACGGTAACAGCCCATGAATAAATTCGTGGTTGGCCTGTTTCAAGTGAAGAGATTTAAGTTTATTAGTCCAAGAGACAATATAATCGATAGTCGTACGGTTTAAGTGACGTCTCTGAATCGGTCTCAGTGACGCAGTTGCATTCACCTCTAATCTCTTGCCAGGAGATTCACTTACTGACTAAGAATACGCAGATGATATCATTTTACTTGATGAAGACTGATAAAATACACAGTCTTCTGACCACCTTAAGCAACAATGCAAGTATGTATGGGATGCACTTCTCTCCCTCCAAATGTAAAATGTTACTTAAGGATTGGTTTAAGCCATCGTCCGAATTAACAATAGGGAGTAAAGTAGTTGAACACATTGACTATTTCACATTTCATGAGTCTCATCAGTCCTGACGGCCAAGTGTCAGGCAAAATCTCGGCACGGATTCAGGAGGCTCAACTGGCTTTCGCCAACTTGTGTCACTCGTAGCGTAGGTGAGATATTCATCTTCCAATCAAAAGGAGAGTTTACTGCGCACCAGTTTGCCTCGTCCTGCTTTATGGATTTGAAACATGGTCATTAACAATAGAGGACATTCGTAGGTTACTGGTATCCTATCATAAGTGTCTACGAAGCATTGCTCATGCAATTTAGGACCGTGGAGTAAGTAATGCCTGATTTAGGAATAAGGCACTAGGTAAATATGGGAAATCGATTGATGAGGTATTAAATTTCCATCAAATGAGATAGTTTGGATATGTGTGACGTATGCCTAATCACCCACTACTTCGATGGGAGATGTTTTCTGATATAGTAAACTGGAACAAAGCTAAGGGTGGTCAAACCAATACGTCTCATCGGTCTATGACGTCATTGACAATTGAGCTGAGCCATGCTAATAGGTATAGACTGCCTAGTCGGGATTCGCATAATTATTGTAACTGATGGCTAGAGACTTTGGCGTGGTTCAAAATCGTTTACAATGGCACAGGTCCATCCGTTCTTTGTCTTCCTCCAAATTCTAGCATTCCAAATTCCCCATAACCTGTTTGTTTTTATTTCACCTAATTATATTTCCTTCTCGACTTTTATCTTTGATCCCTAATCTTTCCTATTACCACTGATACTGTTACTACCTCTACTATTCTGGGATTTAGCCTGACAACTTCATCTCTCTGTGTCAATGGAGTATGGCAACTTGAACCGATGTACATACATACAAGTTCTACGTTGTAACTGACGACTGACTAATCTTTTTCAAAGTCTTGGCTATCATCTTACTCTGTGCCTTCCTTCATAGGATTTTATGTACATGTGTTTCCTTGTGGTTAATTGTTATTTGTTTTATCATTTTGATCACAGATTCAAACCTCACTCCGACTACTTCAGTTTGAGAAGTCAGCTAGTATTACTAGAACTTATACAAATAGTATTGTTTAAAGTAGACTACATAGACTTGTTCTTAGTATATTAGTCACATTATCACCAACTTAAATGTAACCCAAGTGTCTAGGGTTTGTAAGTTAAAAAAATAAAAATCTTTAAATACTGTCCAAACAAAAACAACGTACGAACTATATACAAAAAACATCTATAAAAATTTATCTCCAAAACACTCACTGAAGACCATTGATACGTTCGTCCAATGTCGAAGAACCTTCTGCTCCATTTTCTTCACCATCACTTGTTCGTTCTTGAGATCTTGATGCAGATTCACTGGCAAAATTCGAGACGGTGGTTGGTGTGACGTTTGATCTTTGTGGATTTTCTGCTGGTAAAACTGGATTCGATGTTGCTCCATTACTTTGATTGCCAGATCTCCTTAACACAGGTCTTCGCCTATCTTCTCGACTGATTTCTCGTCCGCTTCCTCCGATTCCTTCATTGCCCACTTGCTCAACTATCTGGAGTAATTGATTAATTAATCCCCTACGATGTGTAGGATTATTCCCACGTGGAGAAGGTAAGTGAACAGTTACGTCAGCTGAACCAAATTCTGAAGACGGACTGTCGCCTCCAGCTGCTAACGATGAGAGTAATGGTGTTGGACCGAGAAATGTTGCTGAGCTCAAACTGGTAGGGAACGAATACACATCAGCAGAAACAATCTCATCAGCTAAATCATATGTTATAGACATTAGGTTGAATATATCAACAGCCAAACGGGTGCATTCACTGCGACATGGCCAGTTGTTATGAGCATATACATTGCGTGCAATAATACGATATAATACATCAATAGCACCACAGTCTCTAAGCTGTTGAGTAGGTTGCCAAACAGTATCTGGACGAATACGAGAAATTATTAAGGACATGAGCCGAGAGAATTGTTCAGATGTATATGTTATCGGCTAGACAAAGAAAATATAAAATAACCAAGAATTTAAGTTCAATGATCCACCACACTTGAGAAATAAACATTACAATGTAATTAATTAACTAGGTAATGGTTAGCGAACCCGGATTAGAGCATTATGATTTTGAAAGCTAGTGATACTATCCGGATTTTTAAGGAAATAGGAGAGATGAAGTTCGAACATGCAGTACAATAGATTAAGATTTACAGTTTTAACTGTTTATTTACTGCAAAATCAAAGCAAGTAAAACAACAGAATTTATGAAATATAATGCATTTATGTTATTCAGCTTCTATTAGTATTCTCGCTTTAGTCAAAAAATCTAATTAGTGGTTTTACCATGAATTATGTTGGTACGGCACATCCACCTAGAGGAGATGGAAAACCCTGATTTCAAACTAATGGTGCACATGAGTAAAAGAATACGATGGAAACATATGGCGTGTGAACCTATTCTTGACCACCTGCTATTATGAAACCGCATCTGCTTAATGTATTATACCAGAAATGTGAATTTATAAGAAAGAAAAGTCGGAACAATAAACAGTACTCAACCACCAGATCTATGACAGTCGGTCTGAAGCGTCTGGGAAATTTTAGTGTTCCATGCTGTTTCTCAGAAAGGCAATTGGAGTTATGCGAAAACTTGTATAGTATACCTCAGATTTGCCTACTTCTTATGTACTACCAACTTACTATTCAAAGGCTTCGATTACACTGCCTTTGTTTCGTCTCACATCGCGCATGAAAGTGATAGCTCATGGTTAGACATATTCAAAATCATTTCAGTCAACACAAACTTTTAACTTCGTTAGCTTGTTGTCATTACTTAGTTGAAAACCTAGGATTAATCCCCATATAGCATTGCAAGGAGAGACCTGCCAAATACTTAAAATGCATACAAACCCCCTGTCTTTTGCCTCATACGACTATACTTAAGAAATGTATGAAAAAGAAAGTACTCTTATATTGCATACCAAAGCCATGATAGTGAATGGACATCTTGACAAATACTGACTAAACCTACAATATACGTACAGAGACTTCTGAGTAGATTTTTTTACGAGAGATGGTTACATACAGCGGGGAGTCATTTCAACAAATTAACATTCATATAGGACATTACAGCTACTTTTAAACAAGAATAGAATAAAAGTTTGGGAAGATATACTCAAAGTCAAGCACATTACAAACAGCATAATTTATAAACAACTTACACGACATCCGACAGCAGCTACTGCTCTTGGAGATTCATCAAATAAGCTAGCTAAACTAGGATCTATCGTATCAATCCATAACAAAAGACTGATTTCTAAGAAACGACGAATAGCACATAAACTTGCACGAACAACATGCCACGAAGTCGTATCTTTCAAAGTAGTCGGATTATCCTCTGTCAAACGCAATGGTAGGACACATATCTAAAAATTCAAATAGTCAAGGACAGCATCAATATAATGAGTCTTTTCAATTAATAAATAGCATTCACATGTAAACTGTCAGTTGAACTGATTGACAAGTAGAAGCAATATAAAACTGTGTCTGCAGTTCCAGGTACAACACTTCGTAACAACTAATAATGAACTCATGAAAATAATGTAGAATTAAAATAATAAGATTCTCGGGTTAAGTTTGAGTAAACAGAAAATATTTTTTGCATTGCACCGATTAAATTTGAGTCAAACCACTGATTATCTAACTAAAAAATTATGCTATATGTTACGAATTAGCCTTTCATGATTTCTAATGAAAATATATCTGGTGATTGTCCGGTTAATGGACACAGTGGTGAGTGATCATGGTATGCAATGACGCAATGTGACAGAGTAATAACTCCCCAAAACATGGAATTTCGACGTAACCAGCCCCAAATCATTTGAGATCAAATACAAGATAACCAGTCAGAATAATATGTTTTGTAAGCAATAAAACAACATGTTTATATACGAAATACTAACACAAATACGATTAGCTGTTATAAGTACATTAGATGAAATGAGTTGCGTATGTCACTCACTCTCCAATCAATTAAGACTTGACTGTTAGGTTTGATTCTTGGTCAACACATAATTATTGTCTAGAAAAGTATTTTAAGATGAGTCCCCTAGACTTCAATATTACATGATTAAACGTAGTAGGTATAGTTGGCTTCATACCTTATATCAGTCGGCATTAATGTACGAGTGATCAATACTGGGACAATAAGTCATTCCTTATCATTATGCAAATAACAAAACTAGACAGAAATAGTAATAGCAAACACCTCTAATGTTATCTCGTCAGCTTACAATTTTGAATAAAGTCCTTTCAGTAACACAGTATACTCGTTCGACGATACTATTGAAGTCAATCACATTGTCATGAAATCACAGTGGGTAAGGTCCTGTCCAATATTCGAATTTTAAAAAAACGACTAACAGAAAAGAACTAGTACGTCTACGTATGTTCCAGTAACTTAAGGATGGAGGTGCATGATGCTACATACTTTTACCACTTCCTTTATAACACACAACGAACAAAGCTAACTTACATCATGACGAAGGCCTGACTTATTGACTGTTTAGTCAATTTATTTTTGAAATCATATTTGATTCTCCCAACTTCGAAACAACTACAGATATGCTTTATAAATACTTACTTTTAAAATCCATTTACAAACAAATATAGATGAGTAAGAACCAATGAGAGCTTAGAGTTTAGGTAGCTACTTCAAATCAAGTGGTAATTTTCCACTAGTCCCATTTGTCATTAACAAAACGAATTTGGGAACTACCAAGTTATATAACATATTTCTATATGATTACGATTAAATTTGAATAAAGAGAAGTGGTTTCTGTAGCTAGACTGTAGGGATGATCATCGTTAAACTAATCTGCTACTAGCCATTCACTACCTATCCAATGCAAACAATTTTCCTAGCTGATAAAAAAAAGTAATAATTAGCTCTTGAAAGGATAGTCGACTTAATCTGTTAGACGTTAATTATGAATCACATCATTAGCTCCGAACGACCTAAAATTCAATAACTGCATATACAATTTTGCCTAGAATGGATGGAATGTAACTGGTAGTGGAATCTAGGACGCACGTTTTACCCTTTTTAGGGTTTGTCATCTGGATGTACCTGCATCCCAAAACTTGTGTTATAATGTTCGAGTCGAGGCAATTCGTACAGAATGCACATATGCCATTCACGACTGATCAAAATTCAGTCAAAATATCAACAACAGGATAACCAAACCATTATAAATTAAAGTTGCATATACAATTCTTGTTTCAAGCAAATAAATAATGTTAAATAGTTTCAATGTTTTACATATTAACTTACAGCATTATATAAATATACTAAACCATTCTGTTGTTCAAATCGTCGAAATGTTATACCATAGCATAAAACCAAGTGTAAAAAGAATAATGAATAACAACGAGCTGAAGGATGTGAACATTCAACTAGCCAAAGAGAATATTTAATTAAATCGTCAAGTAGACTACTGGATAACTGACAAACCTGAGAGAAAAAGATAAGAATAGAGAAAACAAATAACGATTAGAAAAGTTATAATAATTGTTATCGGCCAACTACATAATAGGAACATTAAGATTTTTATTATCCACCCGGCAATTTTTGAAACTTTTTAAAATCCCTCCACGCCACTGCAAAAATTTTTCCACCTCCAAATTACAATATTTTTCATCCCCTTTTTCGTCCAATGAAATGGCTATTTTTTAAATTCCTTTTAATTGGTTAGTCATGTCTTGAAAATTGTTATAAAATATCAGTACTTGTCGACGAAGTACATTTTAATCGTCATTATGGAGGACAGTAACGTGCCAAGTACAAGCACTGGTGTTTCTCACGTCGCGGAAATGGATGAAATCTTTTCGACAACCTTGTTTCTGGTTGCGTTCCCATCAGTTGAAGCGTTAAAGGCCGCTATCACAACTTTCGAAAGATCGACTTACAGTCTCTTCGAATTCTCATTGTTTTGTGTGGCGCATATATATTGGCGCTCTCTTGTACCAATATTTATGTGTTCAAATAAATAATAAATAATAAATAAATAACCTAATTCATTAATCATTATTATCAAATATTCAAACCAGTTTTCAGTTACTTTCTCCCAAAACTTTCTTTTAATGTGATACATATAAGTATTCGTGGCAACATAACTAACAACTTCAATTGAAGGTTAACACTAAATCACTTGATCGGAAATCAAAAATTTATCTCAATACACATTCACTAACACTAGGATTGCACGATTGTGCATTTCAGTTGGTGTTTTTTTCTTGAAAATTCAAAAAAAAAATTTAAGACTAAGATTACACAAAAATAATTATTCATTATCATTAAATTTCAAATGCAAATTATGACATCCAATCACAGCACTTGATGCTATTTCGATTTCAACTAATCAGATTGCAAAGATAAACAGTTTACGACCAATCACAAAATTATTAAAGGTGACAAAATTTTTGTTCATTTTCACTTCAGTACACACTTGCAAAACAAGTAAACCAATCAACAATACCTAAATTTTTCATTCACACCCTACAATTTTTTTTAAAATGGGTGGTAGGGAATCATATTTGCCGGACACTTAATGTTCATTAGATGTTAATTAGATTATTTGATACTCGATTCTGTAGATAGACGGGTGTACAATAGGTCTGATTGACAAGCACTAGTGGAAATGGAGTTTACAGTTACAGTCCTGGGCACACATGTGGTTGAAAACCTAAAATTAATAATCCCAACTACAAATTAAAATAATATATTTGTAATATCCCAACGAATAAAAAAATTAGATTTTCTGACGTTTCTTGATTCAGTGTACTATTTAAACTTGGATTAACTTTAATTTGGTTGTTTATTCTCCGAAGAAGTGGCTTACACTGAGTCACGAAACGTCAGAAAATCTAATTTTTCTACTCATTGGAATATTACAAATATATGATTTTTATTTATAGCAATCTTCACAATGTTCAATTTATTTGGAATTGTCAAGTCAAACCCCGATAATTATACCTACGATCCCAATTACATCTCTTGTTTTTCGCATTGGAATGTAATAATGAAGTAATTTTTTGAAAAAGATTCGGAGATCAATATTGTATGTGTCTAAAGGATACATTTCGGTATAACCAAGTCAATAGTACTGGATATTGATAGACGCTTCCGACTCCTTAATTGAGACATTTACAATCACTGTTCAGAGCTAAAAGATGTAATGTATTTAACATCATGTAAGTATTGTTTGATATATATAAGAGACAATAATAGGAACCGAGACTCCAACAATCACTACAATGATCCTTATGTTCCTCATCTCCATGTTGACTTAATAATAAGTTTGGAAGTCATACTTTCGTTTAAAAGTCAAAAGAGAATATAAATATAAGATTATGAAACAAATAAGAAATCATTTGATAGTGCCAATTTTTTGTACTATATGACCACAAGGGGGTATGGTAGCGTGACATAATAGAATGTACAACATTTATTGAGTCCAAGAAAGTAATTGATACATACGTTATTAATTAAACAACTACGTGATTCACAGAAAAAAAGCCTTTTATTCATTGACTAAGTAATTTCCACTTCTCCAACGGCTAAATAGAGAATGAGTTAATGTTTTCTTTTAATATCAATACAATAAGTATATTGATAAAATTTTCAACTGAAATATTGTACATAAATACATTAAACTTAACGGTTAGGAGATTTATAATTCACAATTTTTATTTAAAAATGAACGTAATGTTATGTGAATGAATGTAAGACTTACACGTTCCATAGCATCTTCAAAGTAGGCTGTATAATAAAGAACTACACTAACAGCTGTAGCAGCTACTGATGGCCTTGGCACTTTAAGCACAGATTGTAAACCATCTTGTTCAACAAATTCCAAATAAACACATCGATGACAAAGAAGATTAGCTAATAAACGTAACGCTTCAAATGTAAGACGAATATCACGAGAGGCAACTTCTGGCATAAGATAAGTGTAGATCAAATCTAAAATACCCCCGTTATACATGAATGGCATAAGCTAAAAAAAGATTTTGTACAGAAACAGCAACAACAACAATTACAATGCATACAAACTCAATGGACAAGGAAAAATAATGCGATCTAATAACTAATTCAGTCGAAGCTCTTTATCAACTTGTAGCGCGATCAAATTAAACTATTAAGCGTTAGCACTAATAAAAATGTCTACATACAGTTCTTAGTTGGATTAATATCTTGAAGGCGGACTGACAATATTTTGTGATTTTCCCTAGATAAGTTATATAGATGAAATAGCATTCATATTTTCTTAGTAAATTTTTTGTCAAAGAAAAAAACTATCCTCCATAGTTTATACGAATATTCGTCAAGATTAGGAGGAATAGTTTGACAGAAATTGGGCGCCAGACAAGTTAGCTGGATGAAACGTTGGAATTATTTAAATTTCAATCGCTGAGATTATTTCAAATATAATTTTCACATATCCTTGATAGTGTTATTTTACGCCGAACACTTGAAAGCACATCGGATTAGTTTACGCAGATGAAAATAACATACTACTCATTATTTAAACATGCGGTGGTTTCACTAATAACATACATCCACACTATTCCATCACTTGCCGTTTGTAGCGAATATACCTCCGACAATATCTAGGTCTAATTTCATTAAGATTAGACCTTCATCTATTCAGTCAGTCATTAACAACTGAAGATCTGTAGTAGTGTGAATTAAAAAAAGTTGCGATATTTTATACCAGTAAGGTAAGGGAAAGCAGAAAACGCAAAAATGTCAAACGTAGTAGAAAACCAAAAGTTGGAAATTTATTTCAAAAGAAACAAGTGAAACCGAAACAAAACTCCTGAGATAATAATAAAAATCAAGATATAGACAGAGAATAAATCCATCAGATTCAATGAAACACATTTTTAGTAGTATCATATACGGGTGAAATTCAAGTAACCTAGGAAAATAAAGTTACCAAGACTAAGCAAATGTATGACTACATTACTACAGATTGATCTGTTTCACTTTATCGAATCATGGTTAGTTATATTATGGATTTGGAGAAGCAGGTGAATAATTACAAACCATGGTATTATTTTCATGATCAGATAATTTCTAGGCCTTTATTATCAACGCAGGACCTGACTGAAACGTGCATCAGACACACTACCACACCACAACGACGTTAGTCCGTTATAACCAATGTAGGACCTGTCATATATGTCCAGCGGTTCAAATTGCTCTAGTGCATTACCACAAAGAGATGGAATTTCCATAGTTGAAGTAGGGATAGTATTTTTGGTAGTAGAAAACAATAGGTATAGACGAAACGATTCAATAAGGATGATTTTGCGAAATAAAAGGTGTGAGATAATTTTAATCTCAAGATCTAAGAGAATACAAAGAGTGAATGTACCCTTATCACTAGGAACGACCCAAAATCTGCAACCACTGATTATGATAATTGCACGAACCCGATTCAGGTAGTCTGCACTTAAAGATACCGTTCGGTTCAATAGTCAACACCTTATCGGGTGATCACATGTCTTGGTTTAGCTACACCCTAACTTCCCTCCAACTGACTCTTAACTAGAAAGCATCGCCCGTCGAGGTAGGCGGTTGGGTTTACCTAATACATGTACCAACCACCTTAATAGATGAAGACTCATTATGTAGTCAGTCGACTTGCCATCACTTACCCAGTATCGTGCATCGTGATCCCAACACTTACAAGCAATGTTTCGAAGGTACTTATAATCAAATAATAGCAACCTACGAATAGCCTCTACTTTTAAAGGCCACGTTTCACAGATTAGAGACAATATACTGCTGAGTGTTCCTTAAACATTGGCCCCGAGAATCTGCGGAAAATTCGGTTAGACGGTTTCTCAAGGCGACCGTTGACTGATCGCGGATCAAGCTCGACAGACAACGATGCAAAGTCGTTTTGCATGATACGATTTGAGATTCAGTTTATACAGACATTCAGATATCGTGCCACATTGGAATGAAGACGTAGTGGCATCGATTACTAACTACATGATCCTTGAGGCTGAACACACAATAAATGTGAAGATTCATATGAGCAGTTGAATACTTGGAGAAAGTCAGAAAACGTGAACGTAAGAATACTTAGTTGTGATGGCTGTAGTCGGATGTGTAGTAAACGAAAAGTCATGCACGATAATTCAATTTATTATTTTATGCAAGATCACAGTGTCTTTGTAAAATATGAAAGTCATGAAGTAAATACATCATTTGGACATCTCCCTTCAGTTGTTCTTTACATACTCCATAATTCTTCTAATTCTGTTGTTCCGATTGCTTTCGCTTTCTCTGATCTTTTTATTTCAATATGCCGCTGGTCAGCATTCCACTTTCTAGTCCTACTATATACTAGTTATACCCGCCCACATAAGAAGCGCATACCATAGATGAACTATCTGCTTTTAATTCCGATTCCAAGATTGTCTTAATCTGAGGCTTGCGTCAGTTCTGATTATTGTCGATTGCTTTCCAAATTAAATGTACGTAGATTTTGGTCTTCTCAATTCGAAAACCCGCAATGACGCTACTGTGCACGCTCCTTTAGTAAACCAAGTACCTTATGGCTGGACGCCAACCGTTACAACACAATGACTTAACTAAACAAGCGTGGTAACTCTACGTAAACTCTTAGTCGTCATGTCAAATATGATATTCTATCCCAAGCCCAAATGTTTTTTAAAAGGTCATTGAATATATTACTGATTATCGCAAAAGGACGACTTAGTATAGAGAATTATGCGAATTCGAAATAAGATCTAATAGATTGAGAAGTCATAATAAGGAGATTTCATAATATCGGATTAGGTCTTTGTTCATAGTGGGATAAGTAAGTGAATTTACACAGGCCTAAATTCAAATGACACGAAGAACAACCCCATGGTCAACTAAGAAACTCGCTAGTTGTCATTGGAACTAAAATAAAATTAACAAGATGCATAGCAAAGGAGTAGGATAATAATAGTAGAAACGATCAGACGTTAGATAAACGGTTCAAATAAAAGGAATGGACTTGAGGAGTATAAAGTACGAAACAGTTCTGGAACTAAGAGTCAGGGATAAAACGAACCATACATGCATCTAAACTACTGTGTTTGATTTTAAGCCATCACTTAAGGTTTCTAACCATTGATCCTGGTCGTCACGTAAACGGCAAATGTCCATTTCGGTAAAGCAATGAGAAGATGGAGTTGCTCTACTGAAATTTATATAAGGGATTAATTGCACTAAATCTTCATTTCTTTATATTCGCTTTATGTCTAAACAAACCTACACAGCTTTAAGGGATAAATCATTTTCTGAACAATTCGTTGAATAATTAAAAAAAAACAAATAAGTGAAATACACATTTACAAAATGTAATGGGATAATTGAGTAGAAACCAAGTTATTATACACTACTGAATTTAGCACTTATGTGTAGTACAACATGATGATCAAGTTATTCACGAACCGATATTCTTTTCTAGATACGACCAAATTAACAATAACACTTAGAATATCTTTATGGTTGACTAGTATGGGATTATTCTCGTGTCTCAAAAAATATACGAAAGTATATCGCCACACTAATTAACAAGACGCAAACTTTAGAAGAATATATAAACTCAGAAAAGGAAACATACATCCTGATATTCAGCCAATGGGATCAAATAGGCAATTGAAAGCCGAATCTTCATTTCCGTCCTGAGTGGATTCAAAACAAAACTTCCTAATAAATTTGTCATACCACCTTCGTAAGTTGATTGGGTAGCTAAACAACCAAAGGTAATTGATAAAAGGATATAATAAAGTATTACTACTCACTTGAAGATAATTCATTTTTTAATTGACCTGTGTAACTGAGTAGGCGATTTAACACAATTGGAATCTATCATTTAATGAGTGAGAATATTAAAATTAATCAGAAATAATCAGAATACAAACCAGTTGTATATTTTTTTGTCGCGTAATATAGAGTAATTCTGTATTATCAAGAACAGAACCCAGAAGAAACAAAGCATAACAATTAGTTGGCTCAGTTTCACTTAATGCCAACTTGTAGAGTGTATTAATTATTACATCCTACAAAAATACCGTTATAATTAGGCTTTAATCATACCTCCTCATCCAGTGAAAATGACAAAGTCACACCCAATCTCATTGCACAGAGCAGTCGTGATGCAGCAATTACCAATTCGTTTGATGGATCATTAGAACCCAACAAATAAACATAAGTTAAACGTTCCAGAAAGGCATCGTGAGATGACAGAAGACGTAATATCTGACCTAAATCACAACTAGAATCCGTCCGCAGTGGATGACGATCATCGAAAGGATCTGGATCAGTACTAAAAAATAAGTTGATTTGTTCTTCTAGTAATTCTGAAAAGCTAATTAAATAAAAATAAACATATGGAACATTCTAAATGTTTACTTATTTAACAAAGGAACTGGGTCAAATGTTGGTGAATTTCGTTCAGATTTCCATCGAGAAATAAGTTCTTCACATCTTTGAATAGCAGTTCTTCCTTCACTCATTGTGAAAATTTGTCAATAAATCTGAAGCGAAACGACAGATTACAGTACGGTTAAATGGCAATTCAATAGTTGTAAGAAATATACACAAACATAGAAATATGGTAATTCAAAGTATCTTCAAGTCACTAAATGTATTTAGAAATTCAATGTAAACTAGCAGAATACATTATTTGAGCATTATAAATACCTTTACACAGAATTGACAGTAGAAAACAGGTTTAAACTCAAACTAAAAGGACATTATAACCAATATGAGCGCTGTTAAAAATGTGGCCATGAAGCTTAGCCAAACGAACTCTTGGTCGAAAAAGTACCCGCATGACACAAGCTTGCCGAGGTAAAATACGTGTACATGACCTCACATGCTACACCACTAGCAAAACTCGCACAGATGCTAAGATGCATAGACTGCCACTCACTCGAGTTCGGAGTGTTTAACATGAGGGAAAACAAATCTACACTATCACATTCTCTCTCCAGATCTGTATCCAGAAATTTACCGATGACATAATTGGAGGGAAACGGTGAGATTGGGTGATTATGCACTACCTTTGGATGGGAACAACGATAAATAGTTGTATCCTCCAACTCTGTTTGACGTATTTCTGAATACAGCCATGAAAATGTTAGTGAGTCTTTAAAACACACCTTTCTGGATAAATAATTACACAACCCAGTCCTACCCAACGAATCGAAAGCGTCCATTATTCAGAAGAACACAACGATTGCTGACTATAATAAGTATGACTATTCTCAAAATGAAGAAGTGACCAACGCATACGATACCTGAACGGAAACCGTTCTGCTTCTCTCAAATCCACCTTTTGTGAAATAGAATTGCTGAACACAAACTTTGGGGTTATTCGTTCTCGTTTTCTCAAGACTATGCTCTTATATCACAAACTTCGGTGTAGACGCACGAGATCTGTGAAGTCGCCGGGGTGTATTACTTTTAAAACCGACTATTTATAACTCCCACATATGAACGTCGTTGAGATCGGAGAACACAATCCTGGACTACGTATGCAGATTTGATGAGAAATGTCGTGCTCTTGTTGTATACTGGCCGCCCTGATATGATAACCCAGATCTCAAATGTGAGTTGTGTAGTACCTTTCTGCCTGAAAAATTTCGATTTCGCTCTGTCGATTGTTTTAGTAGTAAGGGGGAATGATTTTCAATTAACTGAAAGCAGATATTTGTGTCATGACTCGCAGTTCTGAGGCTATAAACTAGGTAATACATCATTCATCTATGAATAACCGAATTTATACACTTCAGGTAAGAACTTAGAAAATCACTACTATCTGTAAGAATTTTTCGAGCAGGACTATGTTTTGCTACTTGAAAATGCTCATCACCCTGAGAAAACCATTAAAACTTCGAAATTATCGACTCTTTACTAAATTCCTTTCTAGTAGTCAAGAGACCCAAAATAACTTATTTATGAAAGCCACGAAGAGAATGTGTAGGAACGCGTTTGTGGAATTTTTCTGTAGCGTTGCTCTATCGTGAACGGGTTGTAAAATTAAATCCATTAGTGCCTTAACTCAATCCAGAAAGTCCTGGAATTACTGAAAGCACAGCATGCAAGGTTAATTTTCACGTTGAGTAACTCCGATGGAAATAGACGACAGGTTGCTTTAAGCGGACCTCTTAACTTGATATCAAAATAACTATACTATAAGACAGAGTAGATACTATCCATAACGAAGCAATCTCACGACGCCCTGAAGAGAATCAAGCCTCGTATTAATATCATGGGGAGCAGCTCATTTAAACAATCATTTGCGTAATTCCCAAACCCCAATGGGTTGACGATAATCCATTATGCCTAACAAATAAACACTACTACAGCCAGCTACTTTGCATACCTAGTCTCTTATCAAAACTAGATGGCAGTATGTGTAAATTGCATCTCCGAGTGCATGGTTATCCATCATCAAAATGCAACACGGTACAAATGTGAACCAGCTCAAGTCGTCACACCAAATCAGTACAGTGAGATGAAATTTACAACAGGAATAACAAGAAGGTTTAAATAAATAAAGTATCAGTAATATTCAAAAAAACCACTGAGAGTATGACTGGAAAATAATATACGTATGGGGGAATATCATGACTCAAAATAGAGGGAGTACAGCTGAGCCATTGTTGCCAATTATGAATTATGCCTCCTGAGATCAAAAATCGCCAAACCTGGTCATCGTGTGGACTCCGAATTGATTGTCTGCATTTATCAAAACACCTACGTTGTGAAGGCAATAACTTCATGAACAAATTTTGATTAAACTATTTTTTGAGCTTCAAGCGATGGATCCTTAAGTGTTTTGATGACACTTGCCTCACAGAAAACACCCATTCCACCCAACATTGCACGTCGAGGTAGGCAATAGCCGGGTATACGTAGCCTATGCCTTGGTCATCTCAGACGATGAAGATTGGGAATTTTGTAAACTGATTTGTTACATAATCTCAGCACACTGAACTTAACATCAAAATTGCTTACTCCATTGTCCCAATATACCTGATAAATGCCTAGAGAACTCAAAAATCTGGGGTGGCCCACAGCATGAACAGACTTACCCTAATATGAAATATTTAGTTAGCGATTAATGAGATTTATACGGTCGTTTGAGGATCAGTCAGTCATCCGAGAAATGCAAGAAAGATATAACCACGTATTCGGAAACTAATTCCTCTTCTGGGAAAAGCCTTTTCCGTTGTTATAAGGACAAACATGAGACTTCAGATGGAATATCCACTCAATAAACTTGGAGGATGAGTATATTCTAGACTCCCATGCTTATATAAGCTCTGTTCAGTTATTAGAACAAGCGCTTTTAAAGTTACTATCATAAACTTTATGACGACACTCATGAGCAGTGAGAAAATCTGCTGGTACTAACATTTACCAATATAATTACAAGCACAGAAATTCAAGGAAGCATGAAGATTAAGGATCAAACCGACGAGCAAATATAGTAAAAAGGCATTAGATTATAACAATCATCAAAAGTCTAACAAAGCACTAACGAAACAAGAACTAATGATGAAAATATCTGCTAGGCAAATATTTTTTCTTCAGCTAATAAGGGAAAGATTGGACGGTATTGTGAAAGTTAAACGGTAATTGTGGTACTCTCAAAGATAAAAATCACGGAACACTGTAATTCTGATTAAATACTACGCTAAGGAACATATTTACCTCCAACGGGAATCACACACTAGCATGTGCCAAAATCAGTCGTAAATTCCGGGTACAGTTTACAAAAATCTCCAAGTTGTGTTTCTAAATGTTATTTAACAAAGATATCAACGCTGATGATGTAAAGATAAATATTTTAATAACGTTGTTTAAGTTACTAATGTACTTTGAAGGTCAAAGACCATTATCTATATACTCAGGAATACGTTTACACTACTCATAGAACACCAATGCATTTCATTCATTTCACGAGTTCGCGAGAGGTTTAAAAAAAATTTTGACAGTGCTGCTTCTAGTAGATTATACCCATATTTTCCAAAACTCGAAAATAAGCTGACGTTATTGGACGAATGATGAAATTTTGGATGAGTTAAATTGACTGACAGTCTCATCCATGCGTGTGAAAATTTTCAAAAAATTCCATAACAAAATATATGAATATTTGGACGGGAGGCAATTTTTGGATCGTGGGGCCAGTTAAATGTTAGTGTCATGTCATCCGGCAGTCGGATCCCTGAGTATCAAACAGTTCACCGATCCGCTTCAGTGTTTGGCACAACCGGCGCGCAGCAATCAGTTGTAGGCCGTGAACTGGCTCATTTGGTGGTGGTCACATTCAGTTTCTTGTCCCTATCATCACTAATATATATGTAATGGCCTTGTTTATGTTATGCAGTCGCTAAAGTAGCCATTGTCCCCAAATACGACGAAAAAATAATTAACGTTCGGTATTAACCGTGAGCTGTGTTTTTGGCGTTAGCTGACTGATCACACCTTTCCTGTCTATCGCGAGTAGGCCTCCACTTATCGTCACAGATAATCAACGTTTGTAATATACAAGGCCAATCAGAAATTTTATGTTCGATATGAAAAATTCAGTAGTGACTATACAGTTTCGTTCGGGTGTTTACTCACGTGCCTGTAGAGTCATTGTGAAGTCAGTCGAACCATGAAAATTTCTCCTCAGCACTAATAAAGGAAACTCAACGCTAAAACGAAATGTACCGTTATAGAGGACATTTTCAGTTGGAAATCAGTAATATGTCTTACAAAAAGTTCAGATGCTGTGCAATGAGATAAACTCGATACATAACAGAAACACAGGAAAAAATGAATATTTATTAGAAACGTGATTGAAAACAAAAAAAGAATGATGGGACCCAGAAAATTCAATTAATTATTAAACGCTGTAAACACATGAGGACGACTTATTTGCAGTCTTTAGGATGACCGGGTTAGGTGATGTTTGATCTCAGGAGGCATAGTTCATAATTAGCAACAATGGCTCAGCTGTACTCCCTCTATTTTGAGTCATGATATTCCCCCATACGTATATTATTTTCCAGTCATACTCTCAGTGGTTTTTTTGAATATTACTGATACTTTATTTATTTAAACCTTCTTGTTATTCCTGTTGTAAATTTCATCTCACTGTACTGATTTGGTGTGACGACTTGAGCTGGTTCACATTTGTACCGTGTTGCATTTTGATGATGGATAACCATGCACTCGGAGATGCAATTTACACATACTGCCATCTAGTTTTGATAAGAGACTAGGTATGCAAAGTAGCTGGCTGTAGTAGTGTTTATTTGTTAGGCATAATGGATTATCGTCAACCCATTGGGGTTTGGGAATTACGCAAATGATTGTTTAAATGAGCTGCTCCCCATGATATTAATACGAGGCTTGATTCTCTTCAGGGCGTCGTGAGATTGCTTCGTTATGGATAGTATCTACTCTGTCTTATAGTATAGTTATTTTGATATCAAGTTAAGAGGTCCGCTTAAAGCAACCTGTCGTCTATTTCCATCGGAGTTACTCAACGTGAAAATTAACCTTGCATGCTGTGCTTTCAGTAATTCCAGGACTTTCTGGATTGAGTTAAGGCACTAATGGATTTAATTTTACAACCCGTTCACGATAGAGCAACGCTACAGAAAAATTCCACAAACGCGTTCCTACACATTCTCTTCGTGGCTTTCATAAATAAGTTATTTTGGGTCTCTTGACTACTAGAAAGGAATTTAGTAAAGAGTCGATAATTTCGAAGTTTTAATGGTTTTCTCAGGGTGATGAGCATTTTCAAGTAGCAAAACATAGTCCTGCTCGAAAAATTCTTACAGATAGTAGTGATTTTCTAAGTTCTTACCTGAAGTGTATAAATTCGGTTATTCATAGATGAATGATGTATTACCTAGTTTATAGCCTCAGAACTGCGAGTCATGACACAAATATCTGCTTTCAGTTAATTGAAAATCATTCCCCCTTACTACTAAAACAATCGACAGAGCGAAATCGAAATTTTTCAGGCAGAAAGGTACTACACAACTCACATTTGAGATCTGGGTTATCATATCAGGGCGGCCAGTATACAACAAGAGCACGACATTTCTCATCAAATCTGCATACGTAGTCCAGGATTGTGTTCTCCGATCTCAACGACGTTCATATGTGGGAGTTATAAATAGTCGGTTTTAAAAGTAATACACCCCGGGGACTTCACAGATCTCGTGCGTCTACACCGAAGTTTGTGATATAAGAGCATAGTCTTGAGAAAACGAGAACGAATAACCTCAAAGTTTGTGTTCAGCAATTCTATTTCACAAAAGGTGGATTTGAGAGAAGCAGAACGGTTTCCGTTCAGGTATCGTATGCGTTGGTCACTTCTTCATTTTGAGAATAGTCATACTTATTATAGTCAGCAATCGTTGTGTTCTTCTGAATAATGGACGCTTTCGATTCGTTGGGTAGGACTGGGTTGTGTAATTATTTATCCAGAAAGGTGTGTTTTAAAGACTCACTAACATTTTCATGGCTGTATTCAGAAATACGTCAAACAGAGTTGGAGGATACAACTATTTATCGTTGTTCCCATCCAAAGGTAGTGCATAATCACCCAATCTCACCGTTTCCCTCCAATTATGTCATCGGTAAATTTCTGGATACAGATCTGGAGAGAGAATGTGATAGTGTAGATTTGTTTTCCCTCATGTTAAACATTCCGAACTCGAGTGAGTGGCAGTCTATGCATCTTAGCATCTGTGCGAGTTTTGCTAGTGGTGTAGCATGTGAGGTCATGTACACGTATTTTACCTCGGCAAGCTTGTGTCATGCGGGTACTTTTTCGACCAAGAGTTCGTTTGGCTAAGCTTCATGGCCACATTTTTAACAGCGCTCATATTGGTTATAATGTCCTTTTAGTTTGAGTTTAAACCTGTTTTCTATTGTCAATTCTGTGTAAAGGTATTTATAATGCTCAAATAATGTATTCTGCTAGTTTACATTGAATTTCTAAATACATTTAGTGACTTGAAGATACTTTGAATTACCATATTTCTATGTTTGTGTATATTTCTTACAACTATTGAATTGCCATTTAACCGTACTGTAATCTGTCGTTTCGCTTCAGATTTATTGACAAATTTTCACAATGAGTGAAGGAAGAACTGCTATTCAAAGATGTGAAGAACTTATTTCTCGATGGAAATCTGAACGAAATTCACCAACATTTGACCCAGTTCCTTTGTTAAATAAGTAAACATTTAGAATGTTCCATATGTTTATTTTTATTTAATTAGCTTTTCAGAATTACTAGAAGAACAAATCAACTTATTTTTTAGTACTGATCCAGATCCTTTCGATGATCGTCATCCACTGCGGACGGATTCTAGTTGTGATTTAGGTCAGATATTACGTCTTCTGTCATCTCACGATGCCTTTCTGGAACGTTTAACTTATGTTTATTTGTTGGGTTCTAATGATCCATCAAACGAATTGGTAATTGCTGCATCACGACTGCTCTGTGCAATGAGATTGGGTGTGACTTTGTCATTTTCACTGGATGAGGAGGTATGATTAAAGCCTAATTATAACGGTATTTTTGTAGGATGTAATAATTAATACACTCTACAAGTTGGCATTAAGTGAAACTGAGCCAACTAATTGTTATGCTTTGTTTCTTCTGGGTTCTGTTCTTGATAATACAGAATTACTCTATATTACGCGACAAAAAAATATACAACTGGTTTGTATTTTGATTATTTCTGATTAATTTTAATATTCTCACTCATTAAATGATAGATTCCAATTGTGTTAAATCGCCTACTCAGTTACACAGGTCAATTAAAAAATGAATTATCTTCAAGTGAGTAGTAATACTTTATTATATCCTTTTATCAATTACCTTTGGTTGTTTAGCTACCCAATCAACTTACGAAGGTGGTATGACAAATTTATTAGGAAGTTTTGTTTTGAATCCACTCAGGACGGAAATGAAGATTCGGCTTTCAATTGCCTATTTGATCCCATTGGCTGAATATCAGGATGTATGTTTCCTTTTCTGAGTTTATATATTCTTCTAAAGTTTGCGTCTTGTTAATTAGTGTGGCGATATACTTTCGTATATTTTTTGAGACACGAGAATGATCCCATACTAGTCAACCATAAAGATATTCTAAGTGTTATTGTTAATTTGGTCGTATCTAGAAAAGAATATCGGTTCGTGAATAACTTGATCATCATGTTGTACTACACATAAGTGCTAAATTCAGTAGTGTATAATAACTTGGTTTCTACTCAATTATCCCATTACATTTTGTAAATGTGTATTTCACTTATTTGTTTTTTTTTAATTATTCAACGAATTGTTCAGAAAATGATTTATCCCTTAAAGCTGTGTAGGTTTGTTTAGACATAAAGCGAATATAAAGAAATGAAGATTTAGTGCAATTAATCCCTTATATAAATTTCAGTAGAGCAACTCCATCTTCTCATTGCTTTACCGAAATGGACATTTGCCGTTTACGTGACGACCAGGATCAATGGTTAGAAACCTTAAGTGATGGCTTAAAATCAAACACAGTAGTTTAGATGCATGTATGGTTCGTTTTATCCCTGACTCTTAGTTCCAGAACTGTTTCGTACTTTATACTCCTCAAGTCCATTCCTTTTATTTGAACCGTTTATCTAACGTCTGATCGTTTCTACTATTATTATCCTACTCCTTTGCTATGCATCTTGTTAATTTTATTTTAGTTCC